CCGTTTGTTTTGCAGATAGGCAATATATAAATATAATGTAGTTCTATGATAAAATTTTAAAAATTTTCTTCTAGTACGTCAACATTAATGTGTCAACCTTCGATGGGTGATATGTGCTCCAGCGGTACCACTGATAGTATCTGGCACTTAATTACTAATTAGTTACATGAAATTAAGAAGATGAATCAATGGACCCACAGGGAGTCCTCAAGGACTCTCTTGAAAATCCCCGAGAACTCCTCAGGGACTTTCTTAAGAATCCTATAGAACTTCTGTGGGAATCTTGAGGAATTCCTCTTGAATCCTTTAAAAATCCTTCATGACTCTACAGAGGATCCTGCCGGGGCCCCATGACAGGACTCCTGCTGACTTCGGTAGGACTTTTTTTCTAGGACTCCTGCGGGAGATTAATCAGGAGTCTCGACTAGAGTGATTATTGTATACTATTTTGTCCTGATATAGCGTAGAGCTGATAGATGTCTCATTTTAATCAGAAATGTGCGTGCTACAATCATGTCTCATTAAAAAAAGATTTTGATTATTTTTAGAGTTCTTGAAAAACTGGTTTCCAGAAAACTGGGTCTTCGAGAGTCGAGTACATGGCATGTTCATATTTCCTGGAAATTGAAAAATTCCACTGTAAAAATAAATTTTTTTCGACAAAATTTTCTTTTCATCTTAGCTACCACTATTAGCTTAGGCAAGGTGAGGCAAGGTCAGGAAATTCAAATGCACTTCTATACCTTAACTAGCGGTATTTCTAGTCTGAGGTAAGGTTACGAAATGCAAATGCATTTCTATAGCTTAGCTAGCACTATTATCTTATCGTTACTGATTAAAAGAGAGCTGTCCAATCCCTAGTCGAGACTCCTGATTAATCTCCCGCAGGAGTCCTAGAAAAAAGTCCTACCGGAGTCAGCAGGAGTCCTGTCACGGGGCCCCGGCTGGATCCTCTGTGAAGATGTGTAAAATGTAAGTTGATTTTCAAGTTTTATCGCGGTACAAAAACATACGAAGAACGAACTTTCGTTAATATCCGTCCAAATTATGATTATTGCCATTTTGTGAAAGTTATACGGGAAATATTAAATTAACAAAAGTAATCACAACCACTAACTGAGTGGACAAAGCCATAAAAGCTAATGTTATACCATTGATTGAAATTTCCAGGTCTATAAATCATAAATATGTGATTGATTGTTTATCCACGTTTGTATTTGAACCTAGAACTTTTTATTAGCTATATGGAGACGAAGTGTCCTTTCTTAGAATGTAACTATAGGTGTTATTGGTACAGAGCTACATTTAGATCGCATCAAGTTTTAAGTTTCTTTTAATATTTTACAAGAATTTTTTTCCTACAAAAAGGACGACAAGTCGGATGCAGTAGTGGGAAGTTGACAGATAGTATAGTAACTGAAAATGCTTATCAGCTTGTAAAACGTACCCCTTCGCCGCTAAATCGCATAACTTTCCTATCGGAGTATGAGTGCACTACCTTTTCCGCTCTTTTCGTTTGTGTTGTACTATTGAAGGAAAACACTGTGAAAATCGGAGAGACGTCTAGCTTTTGTAGCTAAAGGTGTGTTCTTCAAAATCCACTCTAATATCAACTCAATTTTCTCAATCTTCTATTTAACACTAAATCTTTTTTTCATTCCTCACAAGCCTGTATCATTAATGAAAACTACCACATTTTTTAGAAGTCACATTTCCACATCGAATGAGAGTGAAAAATTTATCTCACCAGAACTATCTCAGCAAAAAAAATTTCTAACACTACGCTCTGTGCATTTTTCGATGTATTAGATATAGTTGCTATTGAATAAAATTTCTGATAGTGATCGATACTGTTCCCAAAATAATTGCAATGGCTTGAACTGTCAGCATAAGAACGACATGCTGATAACGTGCACGAATTTTAATAGCTAGTATTTATACGTGGTTGGATTCCTCTTTCTTCTAAAAATTCGCTAAAATGCTCTCCTTCGCTCACAAGGAAATGAAAAGGCCTCTCTGAAGAATGGTCAATAGTCTTATCTAAAAACCCAAAATAAATATACTTCTCAACCCCAAAGTCAAAACTTGACTATATTGACTACATTTGAATCATTGCAGGATACATTTTAAACTAAAAAGGAGCATTAAATTTGCATCAAGTAGAGAAAAACGGTGAATTTTTCCATTTTTTCTATATTATTATTCGCACGCAAGCTTTTTTTGAATTTCAGTGTGATATTTGGATAGAAGATAACAAACTGCATCTATCTATATGCTTAACTCCCCAGTTTAAATAATTTTTTGAATAATTTTTTGAAAAAAGTTTTTGAAGGATTTAGAATGGGAAATAAGATCGGGAGGGGGTTTGAAACGAACAAGAGTTGTAATTATCATCAAGAAAACATTATTTTTCGTTTAAAATGCACTTTCATACAAAAACGATCACATATTCGCAATCAGCATAGTGGATAAACTGTAGAGCACGCAAATCCGGGTCAAAACGAGAAATAACATTTTCAATGTTCCACGGAGTTGGGGTCATAGGCGCTGAAAATTTTCTGAAAAAAAATGAACGTCAATATTTTAAAACCTAAATGCGCTATTCTGTTCAGAATTGAGGGTGATTCTACCCACACAGTGGACAATCAAGTGGACATTAGGTAAAAAAGTGAAAATCGACTTTTTGACGATTCAAATAGTTAGCAATGTACTTCAAGACATGCTCTATCTGATGGCACAAAAAATTTTATTACGAAGTTTGCGTTGCGTGAGAAAATGCCTAATAAAAAATTAGCCTGAAAATAGTAGTATCGACAAGAAAAGTAAAATTTTTCATAACAGTCATTGAAGTTATAACCAAAAACGACATATACTCTGGATCTGCATGATGTCAGCTACAGATTTGTAAAAAAATTTTTTAATTTGGATTTATAATAGCTGAGAAAATAAGCGAAAGTTTTCCTCAAGTGATTTTCCGAACAGCTATATTTAGCAAAGTGAACACACGCAAGTTAGCTCAGCTTCAACAACGCTCAAACTTTTACAGAATGTTCATCTAGATGTCTTCCATTTATGGTGGATGCATAAACGTGCATAAATGCTCCCGGACCGTACAGCGAGTTTCGTTTAGAGAATTTTTTAATCCTCTAAAATTTTTTTACGAATCTGTGGCTGACATCATGCAGATCTAGAGTATATGTCGTTTTCGGTTATAACTTCAATGACTGTTATGAAAAATTTTACTTTTTTTGTCGATACTACTATTTTCAGGCTAATTTTTTATCAGCCATTTTCTCACGCAACGCAAACTTAATACGTAATAAAATTTTTTGTGCCGTCAGACAGAGCATGTCTTGAAGTACATTGCTAACTATTTGAATCGTCGAAAAGTCGATTTTCATTTTTTTACCTATACTTTAACACATCACGATGATATGTTCCACCACTTTAACTCTTCAAACGTCAATAGTTTACCTTGTCCGGATGAAAATCACATTTCAACACTTGATTTGTAGCTAATTGAAGACAATACTTTACGGATTTAATACTTGTTCTGTCATTTGTATAATAAATGCAACCATAGTGCTGTGGTAATGGTGAATTAATTTCCAGTAATAAAATTTAGTAAACCATCTTATTACAAAAGATCTCAAAATCCATGACTCATCAAGCTGAACACTCTTTGTTCTAATAACAATAACTGTAGATACTTCCTTCGTAAGATTCGTATTTCCCACCCACTATTATAGTTCCAAGTAAGAAAAGACGTTTGAATTTGAATTGCCAAACAACCTCACTAGAAAGTCTCGTTCAATAGTTCATACAACACTTCTATAAGCAAAGCACTTTATCCGTCAAATATGAAAAGCTAGGTAACCCACGTTTCATGTATTTTATTATAGTTGACGTCGAATACAGTGTTATTATTTAAATGTAGATTCGAAAACAATTCAGTGATGAATTTTCAACATAAAACCTAAGAATTTGTCTAGCATTGAAAAAACAATAACTTCGAATTTAATTTTTTTTAAATCAAAAATAATTGAGTAAAAATAGTCTGATACGTATTACATTGAGCAATTTCTTAATTTGTTAACCGGATATGCATATAAAATCAGAAACGCAAAAATGGTAATAATATGAAGATTACGGCACCGTATCCGAATAAAAACGAAAAATATATGATAGTTGAAAAAAAAAGAGAGAAACTCTGCACCGGATCAGTCGATATCATCGTGAGAATGTGAACTATTTTCACCATTATTTGATGTTATAGATTCTCGTTCGATTGAAAAATGTAGTTTTTTAACTTTATTTTCACTCAGGTCTACTGGTGATGAAGATAGAGGACGTTTATTATGTTTTTGTTGTTGTTGTTGTTGATGAGTGCTAACTGTTGAGATTACAGCAGCAATTGATGTTGGATCTAAACTGGATAACAATTGTTGGAATGCCGTCAATGGAAATGATTGTTGTGGCTGATACTGGTTATTTTGCTGCTGTATTGTCGTTGCACGAATTAGCAATTGTAGAACTTGTAACTGATATTGACGATCTTGTTCTCGACGCTTCTTTTCCAATTCAGATTGATCTTTTAAAAATTGATACCAACGACTCTAAATAAAATGATATGTTAAAATGATGTTGATACCAGCGTTTCTAATCTGCTTTCAAGATGCTGAAGATTTTTCTGGATAAAATAAAAGCATCATCTTCCATTTAATTAAATACCTCAGACTTGTTTTTGTAATCGATAAGTTTTTCTATTGCTAATGTTAAACTATCATTGTAACATGACGAAAATTTAATTGTATTCAACGTTGACTTTGATTTGTTATTCATATGCAGTGGTGGTGGTGGTGGTGATGATATTAATCGATGATTACTTTTATTGTCCTCTTCATCTTCGTGTTGTTCAAACGATGGTTCATAACCGGATGTATTGTCGTTCTCTTTCGTTTCAGAATAATTTTTCTTCATTTTTGGATCATCGTCGCTATCATTTTCTTTAATAATCGAATAATAATTATTATTTTCAACTTGTTGTTCGTCGTCATCTTCATTTTCATAATTTTGTTCACATTCATAATTAACCATATTATCATCAGTAAACGATGTGTGCCCAAGAATCATATCAATTTCGTCATAAAATGGACACGGTCTCTGACTACGATCACCACGATTAATTGTTTCTTTTGCCTGACGATATAATTTTTTTAATAACCTGAAATATTTCAAGATATTGTATGAATAAATCAGTTCCGATGAGAGTAATAGCTTATTGAAAAAATGTATGTATAAAAAGGTATCACCTACTTAATTCGCATTTGACATTGATCAGCATTTCGATTTATTCCAAGTATTTGTAAACGTTTGGCAATATCTTCATAGACGCAACGATTTCGACTGTTAGACTTCAATGCATGTTGAGTATTTTCATCTGCCCATATCTGAATAAGAGCGTCTGTTTCATTGTAACTCCAACTAATACCACGAGGCATGTTTCAAAACTAGAACAAAAACATAGAATATTAATATATTTTGAATCTGTAATTCTGTTGAGTTTAGAAAATACTATATGATCTATTAAATATGTTGATAGAAAAATCCGAAATTCTTCTCTGTAAAACACGCATACTACCTTTCTTTAATTCCAATGGCGAAAAATGATGTGTATTGGATATGTGATAGGAAGTGAAATGTTTTAATTCTTCTTTCGGATAAAAATAGTACTGAAGTTTCGTCTAGTCCAGTTTGTTCTTCTTTTTCTTATGTCTGCAACGGAGTTTTTTCTCTTCATATGTTTCACCATGATTTTTCAGGAGAAAAAAAAAAAGAAATGAGGTGTATATGTATATTGAACGAGAAGTATAAACTATGGACATGTGTCTATTTTTAATCTTGCTTCCTTGACCACGAAGAGAATTCATATATATTCAGCATCATACCATCGCAATGACACAAATATGTAATATATCTGAACTGTAAATGTCAAACAAGAACTTTTATGTACATTCGCCACACATATATATACGTTCTATATATTTACATTGAACAATTCTATATACTTTTTTTGTTCGTTCGTTCGTTCAAAATAATATTCCAATTTCTAAAATTTCATTGATATATATTCATAAATAGAGAGTAATCGGATCAACATATTATTCAGAACGAAGAAAAACGAAAATACTTTTGATGGTGAACAATATCCATGGAAACAAAGACTATTTTATGGTTGTTTTCTGCATGAAAAAAATATGATTTTGAATTTATTTCGAGATATCGAGTAATACTGAATTGAACATAATTTATTCAAGAATTTAATGACACAAATTTTATAAGAACAGCTTTAATTCACAATATTCTTGTAAATTATGAAAAACATAATTCTCTTACGCGATTAAGTTCTATATAACTGCCAAATGGTAAGTGATTGTGACTGCATCAACTACACACTGCCCATTTCTAATTGTCTAACAAATTTTTATCACTGATCTTATATCTTTTGTCACAAACAACATTGACAGCAAAGCTAAAAGAACTATTATTGACTCGTCTAATAACTTGACTGTAATATTTTTGAAAATATTCATTACAATTGCCCGAATATCTGAAAATGAAATGAATTGGACGAAAACGTTTCGATCTAAAAAACCATTCTCAACAAATCTTTACTCCATTTTTGACAATTTCGACAACGTAAATAAAATCCAGTAGTCAGACCTTTTTCTTGATAAGAGCAAACAATTATAACGGTAATTTGATATTTTTACCAAATATTCTATTGAATAGTACAATCAAAATAATGTGTATTATTATTATTATTATTATTAGCTAATGTCTTTATTTAATGTTTATATTGTTATTGATTTTGTTCATTATCTCTATTTTTTATTAATTGGGACGGGTTAAGAAAATGTTTTTTTGTATATCCAGAAGTTGGAACAAGTTGAGGCTCAGAGACATTAATGCTATTCTAATAAAATGAATGTGAGCTTAAAAAAAGCACGATATCAACAGTTAATTATCAAAATTGAAATCAGAGCTTTGAAATGAATGTCGATATGATACTCATACCGAGTTTAATATTGAAGTTAAAACTTTTGGAAAAATGCAAATATCAGCCACTGTCATTTTTCTCAAAAAAAAAATTCATTTAAGAGAAAAATCAATAGAAAGACTAAATGGGAAAAAGCATTAAAAAAAGATTTTGTTTAATTAAAAACTCTTTCATCGATTATACCTATTGTTTAGTATATTATTTTTATTCGTATGGTACTGAGTACCACACACACACACTGTTTTTGTTTTATTGATCTATTTAAAACAAAATGGTATATAACAATAGTAACAAAAAAATAAAACTATGATATGAAATGCAATTTAAAATAGGTCGTTCGATAGCATGGAATGCTGAAAATCACAACAAAAGGTACTTTAGGTATTCAAAATAAATCTATAGATATAAAAACAATCATATAATTCTAGACTCAAATACCATACTAAAAACAAGAAAGTATAGAAAAATTATAATTAAAAAGATAAATTGATATAAAATTAATTTGATGACTGACTAATGCAAAAAGTCTATATGAAAAAGGAAAGAAAAGGCACTTGTATTTTAACACAGTATTAACATCGACAATCTTACAAAATACAATGTTTACGATGTGTAAGTAAAAATCAATTACTAGTTGGAAATACCCTGAAACAAGATTATAACACTATTTTACTGAATTCAAGATAGTGAGAGATTTGGAAAAAAAGAATAAATTTAGAGAGACAGTAGTCAAAGAATCTGAGATATTATAAACGCATAATGTCCCTGAATAATAACCCGTCAGTAACTTCTATTTCATTCTAACGAAGTAAATGTATCGGTTGTTAACGTTATTATCTGCTTCCTATTTGTAATGTCCAGTAATGTTCTATATTGTCTAAGAAATTTTATACTGGTATATTCTAAGATATTTTGTACCCGTCTGCTTTCATTATTTCTTTACTTAGTTCTTTTATATTCGAATAGATTCTATCTTCCTTGACATTATTATCATTAACTTTTAAGTTTGTTGGATGTGTACCTGGAATCGGTTCTGAAACAATAATCAACATATCTTCGAGAAAATCTCTATTCCCTAATAATTCTACATGAGTAACCGCATACGGTCCACCTCTTAAACTATCTTCAAGTTTTGTTGTCAGAATATCGAATGTTGTTGTTTTATGAATATATTCTCGAATTATTGTTTTTACACTTTGGGGATTCAATTCACTACCTTTTTGTTTCCATGGACCAGCACACATGTAACCAAGAGAGACAAGAGATACGGTCGCATCACCTGCTCCTAAATATACTCCTTTTTTCAAATTTTCGTTTGGATTAGTGGCCGATGTATTGAATAATAATAGTGCACTCGAACAATGATCTACATATGAATAAAAACCATATTGATATCCACATTCCGTCATTGGCTCCTTTATGTATCCATACATGCAATAGATTTTTAAATGTTTTGACATAGGTAATGGTGCTACTAATGGATTTGTCCAAGTACGGTCATCTTTTTTCCAGAACAAATTGCTATTATTCAACGTTTCATTTTTATTTTGCTTCATTCGAGACGCATTGTCATCAAAATTATAATATTTTTCAACTAGTTGCATATAACGTGGAGCTAACTTTTTTAAAACCGTATAAAATTCATTGACACTATGATTTGAAGTCATAATCTTTTCCATTAATTCAGGTTTGGTATAAATTTCTTCCAATATAGAATCGAAACCATCTTTGTAGCTAATTTCTTCTTCACATTTTTTTCGTAGATGAATCAACGTTTTTGCAAAACCGTCATAAACATTTTTTGAAAATGTGAGCATTTTGTCTCCTTTATTGTCAGTGCAATGTGACCAAATATTTGGACCACCTGAAATGAGAGAAAAAAAAAAGAATCATATCGAGCAACAATTCATCATATAACTTACCTTTAGGAAACATACTTGGAATGCTGCCTAACGATCGAAAAAATCGGGGAAATACTACCAATTTACCAAGAACACGACCGAGAATATTACGTCCTAAATCCCCAAGAATGCTTGTATCTTTCATTTCGCCCGATAATACACTACTGAACGCTTTTGAAGTACCGAGAAGTGGTCCACCTACATTCAAAAACGCTTCTATATTATCGTCAATCCATTCACTGTTATTCGAGTTTTCTGTTACCCATCGTAAGAAATAAAACACATAATTTGTACCCATACTGTGACTGATGAGAGCCACCTTCTTATTATGTTTTTTTCTCATAAATTCAACATAAAATTTTAATTGTGTAAAGTAACCATCTCTTTCTTCTAACATTTGAGGTGGTAGTCTCCAATCGTATCCTAGCGATAATAAATTCGCTGTGTCATAACCTAAATCTGCTAGATTTTCTAACACTTTTGACCACAACCAATATCCTGGAAAGACATAGTCCGCTGCACTCATTCCAAGAACGGGTCTTAACTTGATTGCAATAGGATCTTCCCAATTTGTTATATTTAAAGAAAGATGTTCAAGCCAGCATAAATGATCACTACCAAAAGTCGTCACCATTTGTATTGATGTCCAAAATCGTTGACGAAATCGTCCTACAAACATATTCAAAAATAATGTTTATTAAACAAAGGAAAACGTTAGCAAATCTTCAACTAACATTTTGAATTAAAAATATAATTCAAATGTGATAAAATTCGAAAAATGAAGAAACACTCTGTATCATCCTTACCTTTAGTACATTTTTTCCCGTTCCACATTTCTAATGCTGTACTGATTATACCAGGAACGATAATAACAGGCATTGAAGGTCGACGATATTTTGCCATAATTTCTCCGGGTCGTAAACGATATTCTTCTGATGTTAAATTATATTTTTTCAGAATGGACTCAACTATACCAAACATAGTGACACCGTATTCCGGACGTATATAGAGTAATAAATATAGAAGACAAAATAGTATAAATAATACACTAAAAAAATGTTTACATTTAAATGAGCAGATGGATTTTTTGGATGTTAATGATACCGAAGATGATGATGACGATGGCGATTTCTGTTTTGGTATGTGTTTTTGTTTAATCGTTGTTGCACTAATTGAATCAGAAAAATCGTCTGTGGATGATATATTTTTATGAAAAATTTGACTAACCCATATGGGTAGCATCTGATGCAATGTTTTTAATAAGCTTTTCCTGTTCGTTATTGAAGAATCAGCAGGCACCCGAAGATCTGTTTGCTCTGGTAATTGATCAATGTAATGATTACGTTTTCGAATATTTGGTTTATGTTGATGTTCATCTGATACATACTCTACTGACTTTAATGTATTTAAAGTTGATAGATTATTTTCATCTAAATCGTTCACATTATCAGATTTATTTGTAATGTCAACATCGTAGTATAATGAATTTGAATTTTTGTCATCAGTACTCCTTTCACCTTGTACAAGATTTCTAGAAGTCATCTTTTCAGAGATTTCTTATTTTATCATCATCTTTTACAGTAAGAATTATTTGATCTAGAGCAAATAATAAGCATAATACATCACAATTAAGCAAACTTAGCATACTAAACAAAAATGAAACAATACAGCAATAAAAAAATAACCTTAGACAATGGTGAATGCCAGCGACTATATATAATTGTGGCTATATTTTATTTACAATTTTGTCACGATGATAAACATACGAATTATTTTCTTTTTTATACACATTTGTGTTTTGTAAATGGCAACGTTAAACACTTTACTGGTATTATAACAGTTGATTTTCTTTCTTGAATAGAAGTAATCAAGACAAAAGAAATATACTCGGAGAAATAAAATATATGTACAGGTAAAAAACCTTTTTTTATCAAGAAAAAATCAATAGTGATTTAATATTAGATAGCTGTACAGTCAAGCATATAATATATTGAAAATGATAACTATTGTTCGTCTAGACAAGTGTGTAATATAACTATAAAAAAAATGAAGTTTTTAGAAGAAAAACAACTTCATTTCATTTTTTACAACGCAATTCTCCTATTGTATCAAATGTAGAGAGCTCTATTTTCAGTAGTAGAAGTCTCAATTTTCGACAAATATATTTTTTTCAATTAAACTCCATCTTATGTACTTTCATGAGTTAATATTGTTCATAATCCGTATTTATAGACTTGAGTTTGTCTTTGTCTACAATGTTTCATTAGAGAGAAAACATGAGACAATAATACCACGATCGAGAAGTATCTCACAGTTCAACTTCCTAGCGACTTTTAGTTTTAAGAAGGTTTCTTTCCAATAATACAACATCTTAAACACATAACCATACTAGATGAGTGAATTATTTTAGAGAAAATATGGTAATGGATCAGAATTTGATAATATCACGCCAACGCTAAAGTAGAGAAATGGATAGAATGATTATTCATCTTGATTATTTTTTTGTTTTCTTATCGATAAAAAACTACAACAACTATAACAAGATAAAAAGCCAGAATTAAAAAATAAGAATAACAATTCGTTTATTTTCCATAGGTTATACTACTGTTTTCCAGAAAAACGTTGTCTCAACTGTTCGACTGTTGCTTTTTCAATACGTTTGAATAGTGGTACTGCTTGACCAATTTTATGACCGGGTTTCAAGTAACAATGGAACGCCCCATCAACAACATATTTTGGTGAGTCATGAGATATATTCAGTTGTTGTTCTATAGTAAGACTTGTTAATGGCATGTATGGCTCAAGTAAAACTGATAATAAATAAACAAGGTTTATAGCAACCGATATCGTTGTACCAGCTTCTTTTCTAAAGTAAAACAAATATGTTTTTTGTTAAAACTATTTTCTCGTACAAAAAGAAAAAGAAAACATCAGCATTTTTGACCTACTTTTCATCCTCTGTTCCTTTGCATTTGATCCACGGTGTTTTCAATTGCAAATACTTGTTTCCATAACCTGACATTTTCAAGATTGATTTTAAACCATCACGAAGTCTATAGATTACAAGTTTGAACAGTAATAACGATAAACATGTATTACACTATACCATACTAACCTTGTTTTATCCATAACATCAGTATATAGTTCTAATTCATGTGTTATTTGTGCTATCAACTTTCTATCAAGATCATCTAAGTGAATTTCCGGTAATTGTCCATTAAAAATTTTTTCACAAAATGATAAACCTCTGCAAAATAAAGAAATAAATGTGTGCGTGCATCCTTCAACAAATATCATTCAAACTGTACCTGTTTACAAAATTTCCTAGATTATTCAATAATTCAGAATTATTTTTCATTGCTAAATCTTCCCATGAAAATGTGCTATCTTGCGTTTCAGGTCTTATATACAGCAAATAAAATCTCCATATATCTACTGGAATATCCGTATCTTTTGCATGATCACCGAACACACCCAAACCTCTACTTTTAGAAAATTTTGCATCTTCATAATTCAAATAATCTTGAAAAAAAATAAGAAAAAAAAAAATTTTAAATTAACTTCTTGAGACAAACACAACTTTCACAACTTACCAATGCCGGATAAATTACCGACGATTGTATAATTATCATTTGTACCCAATAGACAACTCGGAAATATGACACTATGAAATGGTACGTTATCTTTGGCCATAAATTGATATAATTCAACCTAAAGAAGAAATAAAGCAATGACATTCAATGATCCTTTAAGTTTGAAAAAACATAACTAATCATTCACTACTAGTGTATTATTTAGTGGGAATAAATAAACAATTATGCGTTTCAACATACTTGTTCAGGATTGTGCCACCATTGTTTCCACTCATCTGTATAATTAGCTGTAATTGATATGTAGCCAATAGGCGCATCAAACCAAACATAAAATACCTAGAAAATAGTACAACAAATTGTATGATACGAGATAATATCAGTATGATACATACTTTATCCGTATAACCTTCGAGCGGTACCGGAGTACCCCATTTTAAATCTCTTGATATACAACGTGGTTTTAAACCTTCGTTTAGCCATGCTTCAGTTATTGTCTTAGCTGTATTTGTCCAATGTCCTGTAGTTACTGATTTTTCAAACCACGAACGAACAGTATCGGATAACTAGAAAAAAACGAAAATTGTATATAATTTAGCTAAAGAACGAGATAGTACATGATTACTTTGGGTAAATCAAGAAACAAATGATCCGATTGTTTAATTTCGGGTGAATTTTTACATATTTGGCATGTTGGTTGTATAAGTTCAACAGCATTTATCAATTTACCACATTTATCACACTAAATCCAAAACAAAGAACTAATAAAATACGTCTAGTCATCAAAATTTAAATTCACCTGATCTCCACGTGCATCGGGAAATTTACATTTTGGATCAGGACATGTACCAGCAACATATCGATCAGCTAAGAATCTAATAGCATCTACAATGTTATTAACAGAAACTTTAGGACGTAGTACGAACATTTACCTTTTACACTTCGCACAGTATAACTGTTCCACTTTATCTTTCAATATGTAACCTTGATTATGCAATTTCCAAAATATATCTTGAGCTATTCTAAAAGACAAGAAAATAACAAAAATAAATAAAAATTATAGATCAAATGACATATTTATTCCTACTCTGTTTGTTTTTTGGTTGATGTTCGTCCAAAATAATCAAATTTAATTTGAAACCAATCATATATTTCACAATGTAATTTATAATATTTATCACAAATCTGTTGTGGTGTACATCCTTCTTCAAGTGCTTTTGTCTCTGTAGTTGTTCCATATTCATCCGTACCGCATATTGAAAGAGTATTATAACCACGAATACGACAGTATCGAGCGAATACATCAGCACTCAATAATGAACCAATTAAATTTCCCAAATGAGGAACATTATTAACGTAGGGTAATGCCGATGTAACTAAAACGTTTTTTACACCAGATTTCGGTTTGCTAAAACAAGAGAAAGAAAAAGATTAAATAATTGAATCATAGAAAAGACATTTGTATTTATACATTTTTTCATTTGGATTTATTGTTGAGAGTATTTCTGCATTTATATTCCACTTGCGAATAGAAGCTTCAATTTGTTCAGATGTTTGAGTAAACAAAAATTCATCGGGAGCAACGGCTGCTGGATTGACATCTTTTTTATTCTCTGTCTGGTGTTGTTGTTGTGTTTTTTCTTTTTTTTTTGAAGATTGAGCCGACTGATCGCCTGTTTTAGGTTGTTTTTGTGCTTTTGTTGCTACTTGCTGTTGATGATCATCTTTTGGTTTTGAAGCTATTTCTTGTTGGCTATTTGTTTTATCCGTTTTTCCTGATGTTTTTTCTTTTTTAATATTCATATCTTGAAATTTTTGCACAAAACTTTTAAGACTGATTGCACGATCATTGTACCATTTAGAAATATTTGGATATGTGTTCAATAATTCTAAAACAGAAGGAAAAAAACAGAATTCTATTTAAATCACATTATTTGTCAATTCATTACTTTTTCGCTGTGTATCATCAAGCAACGATAATGTAGCCCACAGACAAACATCCGCTGATGTTAAATTCTCGTTCTACGAAAAAAAATTAATCAGAGAGATTTATGTCATCATCTAATGAAAACAAAAGCCTACATTCGTCAATTGTCCATATTGATTCAAATGTTTTAGTGGTGCTTGCAAATCATTATCGTCCGACGGTATTGATGAAATAGTTCGCAAAAGTGCAGGCTAAATAAGTAAATAAGATGTTAAATGAAAATTATTTAGTAGAACAAGAAAACCAAACGTATACTTGAAATACACTTGTTTCCCATTCAAGCCATTGGTCGATGTTGATATCAGATGATTCATTTTTATGTTTTCGAAATAAATATCTAAATAATGAAAAGAACGTTTGTAGTACATACTTCTCTGAGATTTATTTTCTTAAGTTTGCCAAAAATTCATTTCTGTTTTACCTAACAGAATGATTCACTCCAGCAAACTCATTTCCATTGCTTGTTTGAACTATAATATAAGGAAATATATATTAGTTTTATTGGTATATTGTCAAATAATAAACAGTAGTACCATTTGTTTGATTGGACTCTGTCCATTTTAAATTTAATAGTTCACTCGTGATAAGAAGTTTATTTGCATCTCGATCATTCTGACAGATTTTTATCTGGTCTATACTGTTCTCAGTCATTCTCACTTGATATTGAATGGTAAAAGATCTTATGAATATACTCTAAAATATATTTAACTCTAGTGAACGATAATCATTTAAAATTATCATTAATTTTAAAACAAACAAAAGTTTGAGTAGACAATGAAAATTCTTGATTATTGGATGTTTATAGTAAAGTTAAAAGATTCTATCGAAAAGATCATTAGTGGACAGGACGTCTGCCGAACATGGCCTCTCTAAAGTGTTGAAATTGGCTGAAAAAAAATTGAAGAGAAAAAATTTAGAGAATAATTTGTTTGGAAATTTTTTTCTATACTTCAATATGTGGAAATTTTTCAAATTCATGAATAGACTTACTGTGCATCACTTTTTAATTTAAGATGCACTACTATCCTTCAAAAAAAGACTTGAAGAACTCAAGTTCAAAGTTGAAGAAAAGGGACTTGAAACCTCACAACAGTTTTCTTCATTATTCGTTGAAAGCCTCTAGGCGTTAAAGTGTCTAAAACGTTATAAATATAGTAATTTCGTCATTGATGCTTTTTTCAATAAGAGAAACAGAATATGACAAACCACGTTATAACAAAGCTACAAAAAAAACAATATTCACGTATTTCTTTCTATTGTGACAATAAATCTGATATGTTAAACAAAAAAAAACAAGCACATATTTACATAGATGAACTGGACTAATCTAATATTATTGAAAACAAACAAAGCACCAACATTATTTGACTAGTTTAACGACAAAAAAAAAGTTTTTTTGATTGAGGCAAATAAACAAATAAGTTGTCGTTTAAATGTAAAACCCTTATTGAAAAAATGATCGTACAAAAACAGAGATCCAGAACAATAATAGTATTTTGTTTCATAAAACATTTCTCTTAGCAAAAAAAAACAAAACAAAATTTGACTAGTCCAAGAAACAAAAAAAAATACTCATATACACGCGCACACTCATAAAAATGCAACAAAATTAATTTATATATATCTCAAATAGCACAAATGAGAACAAAAAGTTATGTATAAAATCTTGCACAAGACTGTAGTCAAAATATAAAACAACAATAACAGAAACTTTGTCCTGTATCTGACAATCTTCGTTTTTTTTAACAATCAAATATTAAGAGAAACAAATATTCTTAGTAACAAAAACGAAAACGTATGTCACTAATCACTGAACTGCAAAAATAAAAGATTGTAAAAACAAAATATTTCAAGAAATCGTACCTGACAGACTTTGCTCCATACTACTACCAACATACGCTAAGTGAGTTAGAAAATCGATAAAACGAGTTCAAAAAAAAGAGCTCATGTCAATAAACGAAGCGTAAGAATCGTTTGTAAGCATAAGAGAGAAAGTAAATAGTTAGTACTGTCTGTCCATTACCAGAATAACTGCAGTCATTTTTTCAATAACCCAAGGATAAAAAGTGATAGAGACCTGCGATTTTCACCTTGTGTAGCTAAGATTTTAGAATATCTTTTTGCAAGAAAAAATATTTTGACTATTTTATCATCCAAAAGTGGCTTTTTTTAGCTGTTCTAACGTTTCACTAGAGTTTTTTGAAATTTTTTCCGAAAAATAGACTATGTCGTGAGATTGAGCAAGATCGATAACCTATATTTCCATATGTTTTTGAGACCATATCATGTGATAGTAAAGCATTTCTGAGGATTCTAAGAAACCCATTACTACAGTTAAACAAAGGTCTCACTGAACTGTCGTTTTGAAGAGGAAACTTCCGGCTATCTAACATATAAAAAATGAATAATTTGTTATCTGAAATTTTGAGACTATGAACAAGTTTTTCAAAGTTCTTCTGAAAACCCTTTTTCGAAAAACAATCTGAATGGTAAAATAGGCAAAATATTTTTTCTCGCAAAACGATATTCTAAAGTCTTAGCTACAGAAGGTGAAAATCGCAGGTCTCTATCACTTTTTGTCCTTGAATCAATGAAAAAACGGCTACGGTCATTCTTTTAATTGACAGACAGTAGTTAGCGTATTTATAATAATTCTGATCCTCTTCTTCCACCGCAGAGTCTTATATAAAATTTCTTCCATGTTTGCAACGTTTTATGACTCATTATCCATAGACCGGATGTAATTCCGACAATTAACATACAAGTATATTTTAGCATAAATATTTCATATTTAGGTCCATTTAATTGTGTTTGTGTTGCTGGTGTCTGTATCGATGAACATGTTAAATATGAAATATAATTTGAATCATTTGCATCACATAACCTTCTTTTCCACCAACGCAGCCAATCATTATAATTTATTTGTTCGTATACTAGACAAGCAATTATAATCAATTGAGGTAGAACATAAATGACACTGAATAAGCCAATGCGAACCATAAATTTTTCTAATTTATCTGTTTTCGTTCCTTCATGTTTCATAACGTTTCGAATTTTGAATACCGATATAAAACCGCTTAATAACAAGCATAGTCCAACAAGAATAAAAATACAATTCGGAACTAATAAAAAGCCCCGTTGTACATATAAATCAGTTAAACCTGTATAACAGGTGCCTGTTATATAATCACCATCAATCGATTTTTTAACTAATAATGCCACACTCATCACCGTTGGTATTGCCCACGATGCCAAATGAAAATAGACCGATTGTGCTTCAATTGCTTCATGACCCCATCTAAAAAATACAAACATGTTGAAATAACAAAAAATAAGTATTATCAACACAAAACTATTGTTTAGACATCTTTCATGATTCACAATCCTAGAGAACGTACTTGCTGAGTACTTGTCAATGATCGAAACACTTGCCTTCTTGCTAAGAAGTACTTTCTCAAAGTACTTGGCAAGTAAGGACAAGTACTTACAAGTAAATTTACGTCTTGAAAAATGGCAAATACCGGCCTCATTACGCAGACGAAGTACTTTGTCCAAACACTTGGTCCCAAGTACGTTCTCTAAGGAATATAAAACCGAACACAACTTCTTTCAACGCCCGTCCTTCTGAAAAATTACATACGATGAATAGAAAAAAGATTCCCCTTTCTCCTAATTACTGTTACTAAGTCTTTGTTCAATAAAAATATGATAGTGTAAAATTAGCATAGTTTTACTCGAGAGCATTATTTTCGACACACTCGTTACTCTATGAAATTAACAGTGACATGGCATTAAAAGAATTGTAGATTCGAGTTTTCTTATATTTCAAATTTGAATTATTTGAAAAGCTCACTTTAATCCAGCTGCCATGAACCATGTTAGTGTTAGTATCACCCACCAGACCATCGATGCCATACCAAAGAAATAAATTAATAGAAAAGTAAGAACACACCATTTATTTTGTGTACCTTGAACTAATAATCGAACCCCCCTGCCGTTATCTACACTATTAGTATCTTTTTCAATTGGTGTTAAACGTGTCAAGGATTGCTGCTGTTGTATTCCATCAATTGAACTTAAATCATCTCTATTACAGCTTATTGTTGAATCGAAAAAATAATCAATAAAACCAATTAAATATGCTATAGATAATAGAAAATAGCAAAGAGATAAAAATAGAATTGGTCGTTCGGGATAAGAAAAACGTTTCATATCAATTAAATATGTAAAAATGGTAAATAGCGTAGAAATCATACAAGATATCGCTAATATTCCAACATAATAACGAATTATTTTAATATGTTGTTGATCATCCATATTAAATAACATTTGTTTACATGGCATACCACAATTATCAACATGTAAATAAGAATTAAATTTTAATGTATATTTTAATTCTGTATTATATACACGAAATTGATATGGACATTGAAAATCTTCTAAATCACCTTTTGAGCCACGTTGAAATGATTGCTGTTGTTGTTGTGATGATTTTTGATTTATAATTTGACCATCCTTTGGTGCTTCAAAACATGGCTGCTCATTTGGATATTGATCACAATGTAATAATGATGGCCAAGAAAAACCAAATTGAATCATAACTCTTTCACATCCCAGGCGTGCCTCTTCACATAAATTTCGACATGGTTTAACAGCGCCAACAATAACAGAACATATTGGTGTATAAACACTACATAAAAAATATTTTAGAACTTTTGAACAATTGATATTTAATAATGGAAGATAAGCAGCCATATCCGCGTCGGCATCATCTTGTTTACTATTTCCTAATAAATTTGGATACGTTGTCATATTCCATGGCATAGATGAACACAATCGTGAACTTGTTATAGCATCACATTTAAATTGATTATTATTATTTATGTTAGTCGAAAATAGATCATTCGACGATGTTATGGTAAAAATTGAGAAAATAGATAATACATAAATAAAATACATGATCTAGAAAAATCAAGTTTAGATAAATCGAATAAAAACAGTTTTAAACTTTAGATATTTTATAGATAAGACAAAAAATATGACAAATTATGAATCATCTTCAAATTACAAAAGTTTGTTTAAAAAATCTCTCGTTATATTGGGTATATTAGAAATATAGAGAAAAGAGACTGCTTATTGTTTGAATTTTTTTTTTTTTTTGTACTAGGTTCATACAATACAAACAAAAGTCGCATTACAACTATAAAATACAGTAGTTGTCGATGATAGGTTGATGTGAATGAATTGAAAGGAAAAACAAAAAATGTTCATACACATTATACATACGTACATACTAAGAGTAGTATATAGTATAGACATTTCTTTCTCTTTCTAAATTACATTGCCTAAGAGATATAGTTACTGTACAAATAGTCTATATATATATATATGTAGACGTATATGTTTATGCTCATACTAAACGCAAAAAAGAAGTGTCGATATATACGATGGATAATTTTCTATGACTTTTGGACAGCTTATAAAAACAAAATAAAAAGAAAAATTTGCTTCACATGAATAGACAAATTCTCAAAGCAATTTTTTTTTCTTGTTTATTTTCTCATTGATGATGATTATATGATAATAGTTATTAGACAAACTGAATTTCTCAACAGTTCCTATTCACACCTACAAATTTAGAATATTCATCAAATAATATAGCGAAAACATGATCGAATACTGATTGATTCAACTATAATCCATATAAATAATAATCAACTTTATAGTTTAAAAGAAATTTCAACGTCTATTCATTCAAAATTTTACTGGACAAACACAAACGGTGAAAATTTTCAAAATTTCTTTCATTCAGATATGATAATGGAATGAACTGTAAAATGAACAGTTTAATTTCTAATACACTGATGAAGCAGTAATAGATTAGAAAAAAAAATCTAATATTATTGAACTGTATATGTTAATACTTCTAGAATATTAACTTTTTTTGAATATATAATTCTAGATGTTTTAGGTAATTTTTGATAGTTTACTATGAAAATATCAAATAATGTCATTCATCAACTATTCAAAACTAACTCCAACATGACTACCAAAAATCTCTAAATATAAAGATTTTTAATGTCCATTATAGAATGCATCAACTTAACATCTTGTTAATATTTTACTGACGTTAAGAATATCCTGTAACTATAACAATGATAACAAAAATGACATGTTTTTAATTCATTTTTCAAGCACTCTTCAAATCGAAATAGGTTGAAGCTCTTGAAAGGCTCTCAATCATAGAATATGTAATTTTTTCAGATTTCAGCAGCACTGAGTAAACGACAAACAAGTGAAAATCTTTTCCTAACATATTAAAAGCTTAACAATGATAAGTCAAATTCATAAAAAATACAGGAGCAATGCTGTTTTAATGACAGCAGATTTTTGACATTTTCATTTTTGTAGTTCTATGAATGTCATAGTTGTATGAATTGATGTGTTTTTTCTTCAAATATTGTAAAATACAATTGTATTATCCTGTTGTTCTATTTTTAGACTTTTCTCATATTCCAATAGAAATTCATGTTCACCATCTTAGCTCGAGTTACCTTCGTCTGTATCATGTCAACGCATCCTAGATCATTCATCCATAACTGACATCTAATAACTCATACATAGTCTGCTCACTGTATGATTAAAAAACAAATTTAAAACTGTCGAAAAATTACCAGTTACCGATCATCATTTTTTGTTCGTTAATTAAATGTCAAGAGTGGTCTGAAAACTGATAGTTAATTGAACGTACCAAATTCAAAACACTGTTAGGTGGCAGTCAGCAGGCTGTTGTATGACTATTAATTGAACGTAAAAAACGGATATTTAATATTGACTGTTTTTTGACCATTCGTCGAAAAGGTATTCATCCTTTCATTTTTCTATCATGACTATTGTCTAGTTATTGAATAATTATTAAAAAAGTCAACATTTTTTCACTCTCTGATTGTTCAGAGCAGCGAAAATTTGTCTCGACAGAGTAGTCGTGTTGGCGTTAGTAATAGCATTATAAACTCAAGATACCAAAACGAAAACAGAAAATCGAGAATCAAAATTGAGAAAGTTAATCACTATTTCTGAAATTAGCAATAAGAATAAATCAGTCGAACAGAGGTGTAGCTAACATCTCCGAGCAGGGGGGAGGAGAGGCCTGCCAAAAAAAGTTTTCGTTCTTTCAAAAAAATGTGCTTTTGACGAACGAAAGACACAAAACAATGACTTTTCTGAAACCAGAGAGGCGGTAAACCACTGAGACTGTGATAGAATCTGGGAAAGAAAGTTGTCGTAATTATATCCATTTCCAAATGGAATCGAACTGATATGTGGACGTGAACTATGAAAAAAGATGGTGTAATACTGACACATTAGACATGACGTCCAGCTTTTACTATAAACCTGTCGCACTTTTAGCACGACATGATCACATATCCACTATAATCATAACATTTTGAAACACTACACTATAAATGGTGACAGTCGTCTTAGTCACTTATAGTCAGACATTTTTCCGACATATAATGGTAGTCAGAAAGCGTCTGGCCCCATGAAGCAGTTAACGATGTGTCACTCGTTCGACTGACAGCTTTCGGTCGAAAACATATCTGGTACGTGTACCGGTCACCTTTTAGAACTAAATGGGTAAGACACTTCCTCATGTATGTTCATATTGTTTGCAGGCCTAACATGCGGAAATGCTCTCATCAGGGAAAGGATGCGTAGTTAACGAGATTCTTAGGTGTATAAGCGGAACTACTAGCGACGTAACTTATTTTCAAAACAATGGAAAGTTAAAATTTAAATGATGAGACTTATTATTCTGAAGCCCGAGCCAACTTCTTCTAAAATGAAAAGTAGTTTTTTTTCTAGATTTCGAAGATCAGTCTCGTCTCAACAGATAACTAGCAGTCGCTTTTTTCCGAATGAGAAATATGCTCAGTCGCTGCCAGTCCGAAAGGTGACTGATACGCTTGCGTCAGTTAAGTGATTTGCAGCGACTGACTATAAGATCGCTAAGACTATAATTGACTATCGCTAAGACGATTGTCACGATTTACAGTGGATAAAACGCGCGACTTAAAACAGCAGTAGCCGTACAGTGATGTAATATTCAATTAGCCAATGCAAGACATATTCCGTACCTTCACACGCCGTTAACATCTGCTTCTCGATTCGTTGTTCTAAATAGATTCTTTAAACTCGAAACATGCTCGTAGTAAGCGAAAAATGTAAGTCTTATATGAAGAATTTTGAACTACATGACATATATATCATGAGAATATATGAGCCGCCATAGTACAGTACGAACGCCAATTATAAAGTTTCAAAGAGCCAACATTATTTTTGATTTTTTCTCACCGTTATTTGCGCTAACCTAAAACTGAATGAGAACGTGAGTCACGTCAGAAAATAATTATGTTGTGACAATGAATAGCCACTAACAACGCTACTCACATAGAATCTGGCGACTCCCGTCCATTGTAACTTAGCTTGTTCTTATTCTATTTTATCGAAGAATTGAGACACCATCTAGTATAGTTACAAATAGCTAGTCTAAAAACTGCAATTGATAAAAAAACAAATGAAATATCATTTAAAGGAAACAAAGTAAATTCATTTTTTTTGTTGAATTTTTTTATTAATTGGCCGTTTGTCTATGGCGCTAGTAAAAGTGCAATATAATATGAATTACTACCCATCTAAGAGTGAACTAAGAAACTCCAGTAATTATTTTGGCTAGTGTGCCTCCCCCATCGAAGCGAAATATTCGATAGATACTTCAAGCTGAAAGTCCCAAAAAAACGACTCAACGTTTACTAGTTTAGAATTTTTACCGGGTGCTTGCGTTTGCTTATTCTTGCTCATAAGTTATATTTTTTTCTTTATTCTTGCTGTATATGTTAAAGTAAAACAAATTCGGGTGAAAAAAAAATGTGCCTTAGTGATCAACATCATTGGTTGCTGGTAATGAGACACTTTCTAGAAAATTCTTTCAAAAACGTTCAGCAAACACTATGTGATAGAAAATGATAGAAAGTAAGAGTAATAAGAGTAGAAATTTCCAGTTTGAAGTTATACATATTGTCCTTTGATAAAATATAAGCCGAGAGGAAATTCGTAACAAATTTTTGCTTTCTAGTCTTATACTTACTCAAGTACATCTTTTCATAGAAATAAATAAAATAATAGTACATTTACTACTGGCTAAATGTTCCTGAATATCACCTTTATTTTATGCCACAGAAAAAACGCATTTCAAGCAAAATAATCATCAAAAAAATATCAGTTTCTATCTGACAGTGAAAGACAAAGAAAAATACGTCGTTTTTTTTATTGAATATGTACAAAAATATGTTCAGTTTGTCTATTTATTAATGGCTCTATAAACGGCATCACCAATCCATATTTGAATTGATGAATCTGCACAAACTGATGCAATCATACCGGGTTTTGAATAATGCCAATTAAGATCAGGAACTTGTTCATCATGTCCAGCATGATCGAATATCAAGGATGATGATTTTGTAGGATCATCGTTGTTTATTTCTATATCCCATACGAGTATATGAGAATCAGCACTTGCCGATGAAAACATTGATGATTTAAATGGACACCATTCAAGCTGTAAAACCGAGCCGTTATGATGTAAAAATGATGATACTGGCTTGTTTAAACAACGCATATCCCATAATAAAATTGTCTGATCATCAGAACCAGTCAAGAGCGCATAATCATTCAATGGATGGAATGCTTCAAAAAACCAATACACACAACATATATTCATCTTGAAAAATAGAAACTATTTTGCCTACCTAAACAATTACAATCACCCTGATGAGCTTTAACACGAAACTGAATTGTTGGTGATGGTTTATCAGATGAAGAACTTGGAAGACGCTGTTTAATTAATTTCGACGCGCCAGATGATGATCGTATATCTGATATAAGTAAAATACCATCCGACGCAGCTGTTCCAAATAGAGCAGCATGTCTTAAAAAAAAAAGACTTACATTGTCTACATTAATCTCGTAAATAATGATGTCAAAAGTTCGGTGGAAAAAGAGTACTCTAATATTTCGTTTTTGAACGGTCATTCTTTTGAGACACGTGAAATGTAGTCGATGAGCACAAATATTTACCTTGGATGCCATTGTACATCATCAATAGTATTTGTATCTGAGTGATAGGTTTCTAGTGGTTGGATAATTGATTTACATTCGATTAAATTTGATGATGGTGTTACTGTGTTTAATGTTGATGGTGATGATGTTTCAAAATTCCATAGACGCATTGTACCATCATGTGCTGCCGTCAACAATAATCCTTCTTGATATGGATGCCTAAACGAACGTAGACTGAATCTATTTTTTTCGACCCAACAGACGATACTAATCTGAACAACAGCGATGGATGAAACCAAAAAATTTATTTATAAAGTTACCATGATAACGCAAAACCTTCATCCGTATGTCCTTGCAATACTTTTTGTGGTCGACATATTCCATCTACATTTGGTTTTGTTGGCTGTTTACCATAATCAAATAAGAGTACAAGATTTTCTGATGAACAAGTTGCAATGAGAAATGAATTTTGTGGCATATAACGTGCTTTATTCACATCACCATAATGACAAATTCGTACGTATGGTTGTATATCACCACTTATTGGAAAAACACCAAATCCACCATAATCTCCGGAATCTTCATCAAAATATTTTGTCGGTTGTTTTGATGGATCATATTTCATATTTGGTATATCAACATTTAATAAAGCTAATTCATTTTTTTCAGCTGCATGCGTTCCAGTTAACAGACGATAAATTGTTGAGTTACTACCATCTAATTTTGGTTGTTCATACGGCAACCATTGAATGGTTGCCGAAGGATAATCAAATAATTCATAGAAGAGTAGTTTATATAAATATGGACAATTTTTACGCCATTTAGTAAATCGTTTTGAATGAAATAATGCATCATATTCATTTTCAGCTTCAGCACTATCTTCTTCGATGACAATAATATTATTCGTTGTGGCACTGACTACTTGAGTAACATTCGATGATATATCATCAATATTTTTATGACAATTTGAATCGATACCACCCACAACATCCATTATCTAAATATACTGAAAACATACAAGAAAGTTAATTGTGGCCAAAATTGATAGTATATCGATTAAAGTACACTATATGAGATTCTAATTGGCGCTTAATCTCGACCATTTCAAATTGGTTGTGGAAGATATTTTTAAATCCGCAACATCCATCAAATACCTAGAAAGTGGTCATCAGTGAGTTCTGAGATTCCATAAATGAAAGCCATAGCGTGCTTAGGCGCTATTGATATAAGAAATTGAAAAAGCGTCCAAATTCATGATTTACTATGAAAAGGATGCGTAAACGCAATGAACAACTATCTATTGTAATTTATTTACTTTCTCATGCAACTCAGAATTGAACAAACGAAACAAAAATTGTACAGCGATACATACACACACAGACATATGGAGAAAATAATCAATCAATCGGATCTGAAGTGTGTCATAGAAAAAATTTATTTGGCAAAAGAATAACGAAATGACAATGAAAATTCAATAGAGGAAACAGACGCATAACGAAAAAAACATTCTTTGTCCATAGATAGAAGAGAAACGAAAATGTAGTCCAATAATTCATTATACACCATAATAAAACTTTCAACACAAAACAAAGCTTACGCAACGAGATTTCTACATAATTTCTTAGTGGAAAAGATGGGCAGTTCTTTTCAAAAATAAAAAGCAACATTTCAAAACTATTACATCTGACGGGTTAAACGTATTCAGTTACTGTTTCATTATGCTTGATTAAACCAATTTTCCCATGCATTGCTATTCCCACCCTGTTGTTGTGGTTGTTGTTGCTGATTTAATTGCGATAAATAATTGGGAATGGCAGATGCTGTTGATGGTGTCTGTGACAAAGATGCCTGTTGTTGAACAGTAGTGTTTGAACTATCACCGGCTGGTTGAGATGATGCAGCTGTTGACGTAGAGGCATTAGGTTGTTGCATGTAAAATTGACTCCATTGCTGGTGTAAATACTGACTCCATGGGTTTTCGACATTTGTTGACCCCGATGTTACTGAAGTATCTTGGGAAGCAACGGTGGGTGCCATGGCGATGGATGTTTGTTTAACCGCTGGCAAAGATGTTGATTGTGGCTGTTGTTGCGCAGATAAAGACGAATAATTGTGACCTAAAACAGAAAAATACATAAATACAAATACAAGTTAATTTTATTGTTAAGTCATAATAAAAAACATCTTCCAGCAAACTTTATTCTGTAGCAAAGTCAAAATTCGTACATACCTGTTGCTTGTGACTGCTGCTGAAGAGCAACTGCTTGCTCAGGAGGGGGAACCGGTGCTGTGCCTAACGCAGCTTGCTGTTGCTGAACGTAATTCCAGTATTGTTGACAATATTGTGCCCATTGCTGCTGTTGTACTCCATCCATAGCTGGTGCTGTCGTTCCACCCATTGTCGATATTGCTTGTTGACCTGCTTGTGGTGTTTGTTGATTTTGATATGGTTGGGATGCAGCGATTGGAGTTGAGATAGGTGTTTGTTGGAGATTAGAAGTTATACCATATTGCCCAAAAGGATTTACAGACTGTAGCTGTTGTTGTTGACCGTACGGATTAGGCTGTTGCATTGCAATCATTGAGTGTGATGCTACTTGATTTGGTTGAGTTGGAGTTGACAACAGGGAAGTACCTGATGGCCAATTATAACCTTGGACTCCACCGAATTGTTGCTGCGGTTGTGACGCTTGTTGATAAGAAGATATATTTGATTGATTTTGTGTTGACTGTTGGGTAAAGTTTGGGGATGTGGTTTGAAATTGCGGATTGATTTGAGATTGCATCAGCGGTAATTGTTGTTGCTGTTGTTGTTGTTGTTGTTGTTGAGGAAAAGATTGGTTGGGTGCTGGACGTGCATGACTATATGTTGCAGTATTCGTCGACTGATTCGGCAGATATAATGGAGTGGTTGTAGTTGCAACAGGTAATTGAAACTCTGGCTTACCTAAAAACAGTAGCATTAAGTAGAATTTCAAATAAAACAAAACACAACTCTTACGTAATGGTTTATTGTCATCATCATAATCTTCTGTTTGACGGTCAGTAAATCGACTTTGACGACGCCCTGAATTTGTATTAGATCCTTGTGGATTATTTGAACGATTTAATCGATCATTTGATCGCTGTTCATTTCCCATGCCACCTTGTTGATGATAATTTTGTTGCATACTATTATAATCTGGACGACTTTGCGAAGGAAAATTTGAGGGATGTTGTCGCTGTTGCATGTTCCCATATTGTGGATTTGAACGATTTTCAGAACTATTTCGATAGCCGGCACCAGGAAAATGCGGTCCCCGACCGTCGTTTTCTATAGAAATTTTTTTTGAATACAAATATGTCGAGGAAAGCGTTATGTATGGAAAAACATACCTCCATGTTCGCGATTATCATGTTGACTACTGCTTCGATGATCATAATCGGGTCCTTTAAAGCCATGGTCATCTGATCCAAATCTAGATTTATGCCCTCTTCCATTGTTGTCGTTACTACGTTCTTCTTCTCTAAAGTTCGGAATATTTCATTTTTCAAGATATGCCAAAAAAATAGAAAAATAAGTTTACCTCTTATTCATAAAACCTCCTCGATTACCTCTCCCGGCACCACCTCGACCACCTCTCATACCAAATTGGCGATCATTCCGATCATTTCTCGTGGGTGGAGATCTCGAACGATCTGTGCGGCTATTACGATCTCTTGATGAACGATCATATTCTTTTCTACTATTCTCTTGTCGCCTATCGTGACGTCGATTATCAGTTTGATAATGTTGCTGATGATCTGGCGTATCTACAAATGGAATCAATTTGTACGTATAATTTCTATTTTTAATTGACACAATAGTAAAAGACTTTGAATATAAAGATAGAGTCTTCTTATGACCTGACTTTCATTAAAAATTATTTTTAGGTACTAAGTTGATAGAATAGAATTTATAATTAAACTATGCTATATAAACAAGTTCTTCAATGACTATGTAGTAACTTAAGTAAGCCTGAATGAATAACTTTTTTTCTTTATAAAACGATTTAACTCTCAAAATTTCTCGCCACTAAGAATGAGTTATCAGTAAACTTCTAATTAGACCTGTTTTATGTGACATCAAATCATGATCTTTTCTAATGTTTAATTCCATCAAACCAACATTTTGTTTATGTTCAGAGTATTTATGTGATGCTGATGAATCTAAAAGCATTCCAAAATAATTTCTGACAATACTATTTACATGTTTTAATCATTTTACCCATATTTAATCGATCATTATTTCCTCTTGATGGCGTTGGTTGTAGAGGGTTTTGTGATATTTGTTTTTTATCTTGTGGTACTAGTTTCTGTGATTTATGCATATTATTATCGTCATCCAACAATGGGTGTTGTTGTTGTCGGAAATTGTCATTAAATTGTTGTTGTTTATTATCATCAAATGATGTTTGTCTAGCAGGAAATCGATTTATGTCACCACCAAAACCACCTCGAGGATTAGAAAATCGCGATCGTCCTCCTCTATCAGGAAACGTATTATTCTTATTCTGAAAACTGTTTGGATCATTTGAATAATTGGAGGAATGACGTGGTGCAAAATTCAAACCCAAAAGTGACGGCGGTACAGAATTTCCTGCACTCATTTTTCGACCATTATCGACACTTGTTAAATTCTCTTCGCTAGCGATATCATTATTGTTATTGTTATTGCCACGATACAATCGATCATGTTGATATCCCCCGCCACCACGTGGTTGAAAATTTCCACGTCCACCAAAACGTCCTCCTCTTGATCCATTATATGAGCCACGACCTCTTGAATTACCTCGTGACGATGTATCGTCATTCGTTCCAAATCTTGATGGGCGTCCCTCGCTACCACCGCCACCAAAATTTCTATTCTAAAAAAACACAAACAAATATTATTTGACTTTGAGTTTTATATAAACACTGACCTCATGAATCATTTCATCCATTAAAGATTTTGGACCTTCGATATTTGCCATTGAAGATTGTCTTTTTCAACCTAAACAGATAAACAAACGTGTTATGCTCTTTCTTTGTGGGTGAGTGTGACCAGAACAGAACCAGTCACATGAAAGAAACTGTTTTTTCAATTCAGGAAACAGAAATCGTTCTACAACTATTTAATAATCTTCTACATAAATTTTTACAGGGACAAAATACAAGTACAAACGAACATATTACAATATTTTCTATAGAACTGGTCAAATATTTATTTGTTGTTTATTTACACTTAAATTTTTAGAGCAATGAAAAGGAACGTTCAATCAATATGAATTATTTTGAGATCATCGACTGTACCGAATTCAGGAAACAAGATAACATAACCAGTCGGTGTATTACATGATCGATCACAATAAGGAGTTGAGGAACCCTAATGCAGATTTAGTCATTGTTTGTTCAATTAGACAAACAACTGGTCAATGAAAAAAAGAAATAAGGTCATTAGAAATCAATTTTTTCTGTATTTATTCACTGTACACGTTTAAAATTACATATATAAAAAAAATTATTTCTACTCTATTAATCATCGCACTGGTCTTTCGAATCTAAAAGTTTCCTTACAAGATTCTGATCGATCTTACTTAAAACAACAATTATTTATTCAATAAGGAAGGGTATATATACGTCGAATAGAGTAAACAAAAAACAAGAATCATATATTGTCCCAAAAAAGATTGTTCCATCAAGAGGAAGATACCTGAATAAACACTAGGGTAAATTAATCAATAAAATTTCTTAAGTAAAAGCCAACGTGTATAATCTTTGTTTAATTATCAAGATTTTCCAGTTTTTTCTTGACAAAAAGTATAATTTCTATAGTGATAAACAATTCACAGAAAAGAGCATAGATCAAATTTTAGTGAACTGATCATAAAGATGCATGAGTACAAAGAAGAGGCATTACATATCATAAACAAGTTTACAAAATTTTGTAAATATTTACTAGAATTTCACAAAATTTCACAATATTTATTTCTATTTTTGACGGATATAGGTGTGTACTTCAACAGGTATGTATGCTGTACAAATTTAGTGATATACAAGAATATTGTCAAACATTTTCTGCTTTGTTCCATAAAGTGAGATGATGATGTTTTTCACGATTGAGATACAAAAACTGGAGTCAATGAGTGCAAAAAAATATTCAGACAAAGAGATTTTCATCGACTATAAGATACGTCAGAATATACATGTGAATAGAGCTTTTTTCTCGCACTTACAAATAACTTTTAAAAATATTAGTTAAAAAGAACAGAAAATCCCATCGACAATTAGAAATAAAGTGAAGTAGGGAGCCTTAGCGTATTTTATCATTCAAAAATATTCTATAATTTCTAGGAAATTTCAAGCAAGAACTGCTTGAAGAAAGTATTGCCAGCTGAACTTGAGATGTTCCAAACAGAAGATTTAATCTAGTAATTCGAATTTGTTGTGTTGGCACGGCATTCCGTCAATAAATCTATATCAGCTCTTCGTTTAAAAATAAATGATAAACAATATCAATCCATCAAATTAACACGACATGCACATTTGTGAGAGAAAGGTATTCATCGACGTTGTCAAAAAAATATCAGCTAAAAAGTAAAGTCACATTCAATCAATAGGAGTGTTTAAATGAAGCATGTAGAGTTTGAATGTTAGGCATAAATTTACTTCAGATATTTTTTTGTATATAGAGACATCCAGATTAACAATAGCATTTAACAAACAAAACTATGTATAATTGATTCATTTTGAAATTGATCAAAAAATTAGGGTGCAAAATAGCATCGTGGTGAAATAATTACGAGACTAAATGGTAAAGGAGAATATACAAGTGGCTCAAGTCCATTAGGAGAGCGTGAAAAAGATATTGATATAAGTGGGAAATTGACGGACGCAAAACGAATCTATTGTCACCTTATTTATCGATTTATTCGTATAGGATCCGTTTGGGTCTTCTTTGTTTGTTTTGACTTGTTTATATTATATTACGAAGGATATTTTTAATGAACAGCAAACATTTAGTATACTTTGTTTAATCCCAATCAGTGGAACTAAAATATTTGAATATTGTTGAATAGTTGAATGATATAGAGAATATTGTTAAGATGAAATACATTCGAATAGAAAAGACGTCATCCGTTGAAAATAAAATACATCGCTATACTTTACCTTTTAGTTTGAATCTTCATCTTCTTTGTTTTAAAGATTTTTCAGTTGAAACAAATAAAGCCAACATCATAAACTTTGTACTAAATATAAATGTGACTAATTTATGGATGTAGTTTCTATAATAGATAAAACGATGAATTAAGGTAGATTATGGGGATTAACTGAACGTTTGACGAAAAATGTGCATGCGCGCGTTATGTTGAATTCGGACGACATTTTCTTTAATAATATGAATATGATATTCAAACGAAGAGCTGATAATAAATTTTGATTCATTTTTCAACGTCTGTTAATATTTCACTACTCTTCTGGATAGAGTCATGGTGGATAAGATGAGACGAATTTTGACAATCTTGTTATGTACAAATATATATATGTATCGAACAAGACTCATTGAATCAAACCAAAATTTAAAACTTTTGGCACTCGATTTTTATGCGTTCGAGAAAAGTTATTGTATACTTAGTCGGGAAAGATATATAGATGACGATAATAAATAAATCTATGTGAAATTCTATCCAACAATGGTTCATGGATCTTTTTTCTCAAAAGAATAACTAATCATAGTCTTTACAGATATAAGTTACTAGAAAATTTACCCGGCGTTGGTTACCCGGGTATCCCTGTGGGTGGAAATTTTGGGGTCGCACATAGCCTACGCTCTTCCTCTTAATGAATGTGGACCCCATGCAAAATTTGGTTGCTCTGGGATCAAGCATGTGGATTTGTATAGCATAACAATCAAACACTTTATATTATAGTATAGATTTAGAATACACATAAAAAAACGTTCAAATGTTGTATAACACAGAAATACAAAAGAACACTGTATACTATGTAACACTATCTGTGATGCGATAAACTGCAAATGGCAAATTATACTCTTTAATAATAAATGTGGCTAAAGATTGTTGTTCTCCACAGAAAAAGTAGAAAAGTATAATTTACAAATCAATCAATGACGCATTAGACTAATTTAGGCGTCCATTTATTTAAACAATTAGACAAATCATTCGAATCAAACGTATGTCTGGGCTAAGCTTACAAGCTTACATTACTACATCCAGTGTATGTGTTTAGAAAAAACAACACCAAATATTTTCTTATTACAAATGTCGTTAAGATATTACATAATACAGGCGACTGAAGTTAATTAAACAAATATCTGTGATACTATGAGGGAAAAACAAATCATATTATTTGCTTTTGGATAAGTCTTTTAGATTCAGGCTGTTTTAAATCGATTAATCACATATAGTGGACAGTTAATGAGAGAATGTTTTTTTTGCGAAACAACGATATATAAACAAATTCTTATCATAACATTCTTATTTTACGAAATATATGTACCTTGAATGTTTTTTTCTATCTGATTAAAGAACCTGAAAACAAACAAGTCTCTGCGTAATTATTTATCTAAAACGTTTAGAAGAAAAATTCCATTAAAGTGTTAATTATAATTTTCATCTAAAAGAAAAATTTGCTATCTCTTTCTCTATGCAATCATATTATATTGCAATTATGAAGCATACTGGGAGTAACAAATGAATACATTCATTGTATAAAGCTAAGTCCCATCTTATTTATTAATATGGTATTTTAATATAACAACTCGGTATAGTAATAGTAAGTAGTCTAAAACAAGCTTTATGATAATATTTATCAATGTAATGTGTTTCGAGCTAAAAGAAAATCATTTCTGTAACGAATTTGCAACTGTTTAATACATGCTAAAGGAAGTTCTTATACAAGTAAATACAATGTAAATAAAGATTATGTATATATTCTTTTATTTTTGATGATCTACGGATTGCAAAAAGAGATTCACAAAAAAACATATGGAAATTAATGCTCATTTACAGTTTTAGTAACACGTACATTTATCGAAAAAAAAATTTAAAGAGTAACTTTTTTTTGTAGTTGATTCTATTTCGAACTGAATTCTATTATTGAAAACATTCTAAATAACGCGATATAACAAGCTAGAAGTTTACAACAACAACAACAACAACAAAATCGCGCTCACTCACGGGACAGAATGACTGCAATTTTTTTGACTTTCTTCTCACAGATCTACATAAAATCATATTTCAAGAAAAAGTAAAAAAACAAAAACTCGTTCTTTGTTCCTTGGCTGATATCCAATATATGTAGAATATAATAATTTTGACAATAAAGTACTAATATACAGTCAAGAATATATAGAAAGAGTATCATAGTCAAGTTTCATCAAATACGTCATTTTCATGCATGCATGCTCTTTCCAACGACATGATTCAATTATCCAAGTGCAATATAAACTTAATAAATAGGGTTTAGGTAAGTTAGATAACTAACCACTTTATATGTTTGAATCTGCTGTTTTAAAATTCTTGAAATCATTCTGAACGCTAAACAAACAACAACGAAAACCATACGGAACAACTTGAAACAATAAAGTTGTTCATTTATTAGCTATTACTAAAGCTGAAAAGGGTTTTCGAACTTCATCCTATATTAGTCACATAGACGTGACTACCTGAGAGAACAACTCTTAACTCGTTTAAAACTTAATAAGTTAAAACTTAAGACGCGTTTGTAGTAGAGATCTGCATGGGCAGCCCGTGCAGATCTCTGGTTTGCAGAGCTTGCATTACATTTCAGCTGCATACTTAAACAAAGATAATTGAGTGTAAAAAAGGCAACAATTAAAATGCTGCAGCGACAGATAAATCAAGCTACAACTCATATCATTTTGTCGTAGCTTTTTCTCTTTACTGGAGAGAAAAGGTCTAAAAATCACTTGTGGAATTGTATGAGCACTATTAGACATATTCTATGCATGAAACCAATCAACAGAGAGAAATAGAGGGTACATATGAAGGCGGTATGATACAACTAGCACATCGTCAGATGTCATACTCAGATATATAGAAAAAGTTATTGAGCAAGCGGTTTGACCATAAACATTAATAGAATCGAGTAATTAGCGAAGACTGTATATGAAAAAGTAATCAAGCATAAAGAGCCTATCGGAATCATTATTAGGAACTTGTAGGGTTCCAGAAAACTTCTAGAGCTTCTAGCGATTTTTTACTCGTTATCTTTGTATCGACACTGAAATGAGATTTTTAACAATAACCCCGTCATGAATGAAATTGCCGCACAGAAGGACATTTAGTACTGCATACGTCGAAGTCTGAAGAAAGAGAGTATTAGTATTGGGGATTTCGAAAGTCTGAAACGAGTAGTGGAACTTAACGATTATCCAGTTAAACCATTGAAAAATGAAGCATTTTCTGAGTTTTATTTGTCGGTGCATTAGACCTTAGATACTGACTAAGGAACAAAAAACTTTTTCTCTTTTAATTTTCAATCGACGCTATTCAGTAGCGTATAAAAGGCAGAGGATTCGTTATAAAAAGTCTCTGCTGGTGAAAAAATGCTCATTTTCCTCCGTTAGGTACTCTAGAGAACACATCAAAATAATTTTCAAAAGCAGAAAAGTTGTAACAACCCCCACAACTCCATAGTATTTACGCCCCAGACGCTTCCTCGATGGTTGTATACTTTTTAAAAGAATTTGCTAAAAGATAAGGCTGAGCATTTGTTTAAAGTCGCTGCTACAGTAAAGGAGTCGCGATAATCGACAGTGAACATCATTTGTTTGTGTATTGGATGAGCAACAAGCAAACGTTTTCGCTCTTTTAACTTGAACTACTATGGATAGAATCGATCAAAATGCCATAAAGCTAATAGAAAGAAAAGAAATTTGATAATATAAATACCAGATGTATAATGGACAATATCGTTTGCGAGACAATGATTGGCTGGAGTTTACCATGGAAGTTTCTTCATGAACTTCTGGCGACATTAGCAAAAAAGTATACGAGATACAAATATTCTGACTACTCTTATGAAATTTTTGAATACTGAGCTTTTTCTGAACATATACAAGAGTAATTGTCAACTATATTGCAAATCTTCATTTGGAGGAGGTACTCGTCATCAAAGTAAGGCTGACTCAATCATGTACGCGAAAAAAAGTAAATTTTCTTTCTTTTTTTTTCTCTTCAAATTTGTTTAGCAGTGGCTTTGCTTTGTGTAAGCTTGATTATTTCATTGTGGGTGTGCTAATTTCAGATTCAAACGTTTTAAAACCGCGTTCTGAAAAAAGGAATATTTCATCATGGGTCGTATGCATGCACCTGGGTGAGTTTTTTGAACTTTCACACACACAATGATCTTATTGGCCATTTTTTTGCTTTAGAAAAGGTATTTCCGATTCAGCTTTACCGTACAAAAGAACAGTCCCATCGGTGAGTTTTAAATACCAATAGTTGGTCGACTGGACTTAACTAAACCATCATTTTCATCTTAGTGGCTCAAACTAACAGCTGAAGATGTCATCGATCAAATATGTAAATTAGCTAAAAAAGGTTTAACTCCATCACAAATAGGTAAGCAGAACTTTAATCCTAGGTCGATCTTTTTTCATATTACCTTTTACCATTTTCTCTCTTCAGGTGTTATACTTCGTGATTCACATGGTGTAGCCCAAACACGTTTTGTGACTGGAAACAAGATATTGCGTATTATGAAAGCAAAAGGTTTAGCACCAAGCAAACCAGAAGATTTACACCATTTAATCAAAAAAGCTGTTGCTATTCGAAAACATTTGGAACGCAGTAGAAAAGATAAAGATGCGAAATTTCGTTTAATCTTAGTCGAAAGCCGTATTCATCGTTTAGCACGTTATTATAAAACTAAAAAAGTATTACCATCAACATGGAAATATGAATCATCAACAGCAGCAGCTTTATTAGCATGAGAAAATTTATTTCTTGTAGTCTACTATTACTTATTTTATGTAACAAAGGAAAAAAGAATAAGGCTTCAAATCGCATAAAGTGTTGTTGTTGTTATTGTTAAATTAATACATCTTTCAATAAAAACAAACAATGAGCTGTTATTATTAAATTTATCTTGTGACTTTTGAGAGGCGACAGGACAAAAACGCGAAAGGCTTGGAGACACTCTTAGAGGTGCTTTTCTTTTTGCTCAGTACACGAATTTATAGAAGTGGTTGTGAGATAACAGGATAAAATCTGAGACTACATAAATTGAGTGACGTTCAATTTAAATATCTGCCTCGAAAGATCTTTCTGAAAGAGAGAACCTGATTAATCTTCAGGGGATCGTATCGCGAAAAAAGTTAAGTCAAAGTGAAGACTTAAGTGTATGAAATTAGAACGTAAGTGCACATAACGAAGACTTAAGTCCAAATTTTGATTTAAGTCAGACTAAAGTTTTTTTGTGATACGGCCCCCAGGGTCTTAACTTGCGTATTAGGTTGATTCTTTTCGTTTATTCTTGTCTGTACTACCTACGCGTCCTTTTACTTCATGAAATCTAGAGATGACTCTACAACCGTATATGACCTGATTTTATTACATCTTGTGCTATGTATTCTAATTAATTTTTTTCAGATTAAATTGTTTAACAGCAACACGCCATTGTCGTTTTTTCCTAAAAATATGGCTACTCAAGAGCTAATTGCCATTTTAGAACGAACTGCGGTTGGCTGTAAGTTGAACGTTTATATAAAAGTAATTTCTTTATGACATGGTTAGTTTATTTTTGTAGCTCAAAGCGATTTGGAAAATGCACGAAATTTTCTTGCCAAAGCAGCTGAACAAAATTTGGTAAGATTAAAGAAGCAGCGACTGTAATGAAAAATAACGTTATTGTTTTCTATTAGCCTGAACTTCTAAAACATTTATCCGATATATTAAATACAGCCACAAATAATCCAACTGCGCGCACACAAGCAGGTTCGTTGGTTTTATTTTGATGTCTGAATATTTTCAATATTTATTATTTCATTTTTACTCTGTTCAGCATTACAATTGAAAAATGCTCTCTATTCTCGCGAAGAAAATTTGAAAAAAGTCTATCAAGACCGTTGGTTGGGAATGCCACAAGATATAAGAAATCACATCAAGAACAATGTATGTTTGTTCATAATATTGGACTCTTCTTCAGTAGTTTTAATTGCTGTTCTACTTTTAGTGTTTTGAAGCACTCGGCACTGAAACATCAAAACCATCTCAAGCTGCTCAGTGTGTCGGTTATATCGCTTGTGCTGATTTACCACGTGGACAGTGGCGCGATTTAATCGGTAAGCGCTTCGTTTTATCGTGTTTTGGTGACGTGAACATAACACATACAGAGAGAGAGAAAGAGAGAGAGAGACGAGTGGTGAAGAGTGCAGGAAAATATGACGTTTTTTATATTTTCTCCAAATGTATTGTTGTTTGTTCTTATTTCTTTATGCGGTGTATGTTGTATGTTGTTTGATTAATTGCTTTAGAACGACTAGTCGCCAATGTAACAACGCCGGGAAAAGCGGATAATTTACGTGAAGCTAGTCTCGAAGCGCTCGGCTATATATGTCAAGATATTGTAAGCGCAACTAAAAAAGTTCTGTTTGTTTGTTTGTGTCTGAATGAGAAAGTGTGACACTTTTTCAAAACATCATAGCAATTTTGTCTTTATCATATCTGTTTGACATTTACAGGATGCCAGTGTTTTGGTTCCACAAAGTAATGTTATTTTAACAGCACTCGTATATGGCATGAGAAAAGAAGAAGTGAACGATAATGTCCGTCTAGCAGCTACAACAGCTATGTTAAATTCATTAGAATTTACCAAGAATAACTTTCAAAATGATGTACGGAATATTGATTTCGCGCTTGACATAAAATATGATAACGATTTACGTCTTTATTTTTAGAGTGAAAGACATTACATCATGCAAGTTGTATGTGAAGCTACTCAGTCACCAAATCTTAAAGTAAGTTTTAAACTTCGAACTAAGGACTGATCAGGCAATTTTTTAATGTTTTTTAGATTCAAGTAGCAGCACTACAAAACTTGGTCAAAATTTTAACATTATATTATGATTACATGGAATATTATATGGGTCCAGCATTATTCGCTGTGAGTATACAAAAAAAGTCTTTTTTCTTTTACTTGTAAAATGCTTCTTATTCACAGATAACAATGGACGCTATGAAATCATCTCATGACGAAGTTGCTTTACAAGGTATTGAGTTTTGGAGTAATGTTTGTGATGAAGAATATGAACTCCAACTTATGCAACAAGAAGCAGCGGAACAAAATCGTCAGCCCGAACGTACAAGTCGTTATTATGCGCGTGGTGCGTTACAATATTTGGTTCCGGTTCTATTACAACGTCTCACTGTACAAGAAGAAACTGATGATGATGACGATTGGAATCCATGTAAAGCAGCTGGTGTCTGTTTAATGTTATTAGCAAGTTGTGCAGAAAATACAATTATTCAACATGTATTTCCATTTGTTAGTGAAAATATTAAACACACTGACTGGAGACATCGAGAAGCAGCTGTTATGGCATTTGGTAAACATTTAGATTCTTTCACTTTGAAACTTTCCTAAACTTTGTTTGTTTTAAGGATCAATGATGGAAGGTCCCGATGTTCAAAGTATAAAACCAATAGCTGAACAAGCCGTTCCATTTTTAATTGAATTATTGCATGATCAACGTGTTGCTGTACGTGATACAACGGCATGGACAATTGGACGAATATTTGAATTCGTTTCACAAGCCGTGATGGACGATAATTTGTTACGTGGAATATTAACAGCATTAGTTGCTGGTTTGGCTGATGTTCCGCGTGTAGCAACAAATATCTGTTGGGTAAGTAGTTTACTCATGACATCTTTGACAAAAAAATAAAATATATCTTGTTTACAGTCATTTTCGAGCTTGGCACGTGCTGCATACGAAAATGCTGAATGTCCAGAAGATGATGATACACCAAACACATATATATTATCTCAATATTTCGAAGGTATCGTGCAGAAATTAATCCTAACTACGGATAGGTATGGCATTTTTCTCTTCGTGCTCACTAGTAACATCTCAGTTGATACATCTTTTTTTCTAATCAGGAATGACGGTAATCAGTCGAATTTACGCAATGCAGCTTACGAAGCTCTTATGGAAATGATTCGTCATAGTCCAAAAGTAAGAAATAACTTATTTATATCTTTTGGTGCATCCATCTATTCATCGTTTAGGATTGTTATGCAACTGTTCAACGAACAACAATGACTGTATTGGAAAGATTAAACAACGTTATCTCGATGGAAAGTCATACAGCTAATCCAAACGATCGAGTACAAATAAGTGATCTTGAATCGTTACTGTGTGCAACATTACAGGTAAGAGAATGGTCTCTTTAGATTTCATTGATTGATTGTAAAATTTTTATAGAGTGTTTTACGTAAAATGCATGCAGATGATGCCCCCATCATCTCCGATCATATAATGACAGCACTATTATCAATGTTAAAGTCAAATAATGGCAAAGCTAGTTCGGTCCATGAAGATGCATTAGTAGCTATTGGAACACTTGTTGAAGGTAATTTTCAACAAATTTGCATGTTTTTTATTGTATTCTCTATTACTTTTAGTACTTGGTCCTGACTTTATTAAGTATCTTCCGCACGTATTACCATATTTATTTGAATCATTAAATAACCATGCAGATTATCAAATATGTGCGGCGGCTGTTGGATTAGTTGGTGATTTAAGTCGATCGTTATTAGACAAAATTATACCAGTTTGTGATCAAATAATGACACATTTATTACAATGTCTTGGTGTAAGTTTCGGTAGTTCTATTGTTAGACCTAATTATATAGAAAGGACGCGTGACAAACCAAATATATAAGTCAAAGTACGGCTTTGATGTCAAACAGAACATTTAGCATCTTGTTGGAGTGAAAGATTTTCTTATGTTTGACCCTAATTGTTCTTAGAAGAGAAGCTAAATACGATTGAAACAAACAAAAAAATTTAGTTTGTGATTACGTAATGAACTTTTTTTTATCAACATCAACTTTGGCAGCGTCCGTGCATCCTGTTTACAATATACGGTCATTTCATTTTAGGATGATAAACTTCATCGTTCCGTTAAACCACAAATATTAAGCACATTTGGTGATATTGCCTTAGCTATTGGATCTGAATTTAAAAAATATCTTGAAGTTGTCTTAACCACATTAAATCAAGCATGTCGTGCACAAGTAGCAAAAAATGATTATGATATGATTGATTATCTAAATGATTTACGTGAAGGCTGTTTAAGTGCATATACTGGAATCATACAGGGCTTAAGAAACTCACCGTCATCGACTGTTGGACCAAATGGTACAACGTCAACACCATTAGTCGATTTACAATTAGTAACAGCACAATTACCATTTATCATTCAATTTGTTGAAGTTGTTGCACGTGATCCAAATAAATCGGATACAATTATTGGAGCGACCATTGGTTTGATTGGTGATTTAGTTACATCATATGGACAAGGCATGTTACAATTTGTTGAACGCGATACAATAGACAAACTTATAACAGAAGGAAAACGTTCAAAAATAATGAAAACAAAAACATTAGCCACTTGGGCGGCTAAAGAAATTCGAAAACTGAAAAGTGGTTGAAAAAAACTCACTTGAAACATAATCAAAAACAAACATCATGAGTCATTTTTTTTTGTTGTTGTTGTGTTGCGATGCGCGTTGTGTAAGAGAGAGAGAGAGTGTGTATGTAACGTATGGTGTGATTTTGTCATCTCATCTACTTTTTTCTTGTTATTGTTACTGCTTTTGTATGAGGTGATTCATTAATATTTTTTGATACATTTCATATGTCATCTGTTGTGATGAAAATTAAAAACAGTGCGATAAGAAAACAACGAAGAAGTAGGTGAAGATGATGTTTTCTCTCAATTTTTTTTCTCTTGTTGTCTGCTGTATGAGAGTGTCGTGTGTGCTTGCGTGATGTTGGTACGCTGTTTTACTGAATGGGTGCGTGAATGGTCCCTTCCGCCCTTATTAACTCTCAATTATTAAAACAAGACTTGTATTACGCAACAGCAAACGCTAATTGAACGGTTACACGCGCGCACAAACCACATTTTATGCAATGTGAATAGCTCAAATTAGCCTTCGGCGTTCCAAAAAGTAATTTTCTGGCTTAATGTTTTTCTTCTTTCTTTTTTTTCAAATATTTGATTCTACGTTTACTGTAAAACAGTCGTCTTCTTTCTCTATATCTCTAGGTAATTCTCTCATCTCTTTTGTCTGCGAATGGTTTTTTGTATTTTTCAAACAAAACGAAGAAAATGGCCTCTATGTTTATTTTTAATTTTTCTGTGATCTTATCTTTCTTTCTCTTTCTCTTTCATTCTCTCTCTACTTCTTTTCTCCGGTTCACTGCAATGTGCGCGAGCGTGTGTGGAAGAGTTGAAAAATGCCGGTGCTATCTTGTTCATTCGTCTATATTTTTTTGCCCAATGCTCTTTTCCTCGTTTAATTTTTATCACGACCTGTAAACTTTCTCCGTTATAACCTGTATGCTTGACTTTGATGATTCTAAGGATTTAGTGTGTGCTCTGAGAGGAATGTGATCTGTTGTTGTTATTACTATTTTTTTTATACTACTGCCCTTGCCTTCACTGTATGCTGGTGCTGTTGTTGTATGCTATGTCTGTATGTGTGCGAGTTTTACTTTCGAAGTCTATTTTTTTGTCTACAAACAAAAAGTAAAAGAACCATGTTCACTAATGAGATTTTGTGGTACGCAAATAGTATTATGCATTTTAAACACACAACATTACAAATTTTAGAGTACTGACGACGTTTGATGAAAATGTTACGATCCGTTGTTCAAATTTTATGCGTTTTTCAACGTGCATTAGGCCAACTGTTATGCTACTACTGTTTCTACTTGTATGGGGCTTGTAAATCATATTTTTTAGATATGACCTTAAAACAGATGTTAACGGGAAAAAAAAACAAAGTTTTGCAGAAAATTTCGCCGCTAACTTCTCAATTCTATAACTCTGCTATCGACAATTTCTACTGATAACTGTATCATTAGAACTACTTTTACTCTTAACGTCTTTCGGCCAGATCGCGTTCATCATAAGATTTTAGACTCAAAATTTTGACCAGAGTTCACGTTCCACGGGATCGAGTATTTAATATAAATCATCTGGATGAACGGTAACTGTTTTCAACGCGTTTCCCTATTTATTAGAAGGTTTCAGTCACTAAAAATTTTAGAAGTGTTATCTTTACAAATGTTTTAAATTTTAATCAAAAATTAAAAAGTTTTCTTGCTTTGTAAACAGATCTATACATCTTTCCAAAGATTATAAATCGGTTTGAAATTTATAAAAAAATCGTGTTTTACATATGTTTAAATTATTAATAAATTCGAAAGTCATTTTAGACTTAGATGTGATCGGCTCCGAAAGCCATTTCTTCTTTAATTATGTAGAAGAATTTAATTGAAAATGTTATCATTTCTTAAGTAACTTTACTATGCTCAATCAGATAAAAAAAGAAACTAAAATGCTTGTAGATAGATATTTTTAATAAACATTTTTACTGATATCTCTGTACAAAAGTTATCTGCTTTTATTAAAATTAGTAAAAAAATAACAGAATAAAAAGATGAGCGTACAATAATAAAACAATTAAAAAGAAGACTTGTTGACATGTATTTGTATCACATGAACATTCTATTTCGTCAGTTGGAGGACTATAATTGGAATGATAAATAAAAAACAATACTAAGAAGCATCAATCGTTTCACTTTCAAACATCAATAAACTTCGTTCATTCGGTGAAGTGCCAATAATGAAACGTTTTTTAGATTTAATTAAATAATGAGTTTTTAGTGTTTGTAAAGAACCATGAGGTGTAAACAATTCCTTTGTTACTTGTTTTCGATGTATATTCCATTGACGAATACGTTGACCATCATTATCTACGGATAATATGTGATTTTCATCTAGCCAACATACTCCATTTATCTGAAAATGTTAAAAAAACAAAAACTGTAATGATTATTTATCTTCACTATATACACACTTACAAGATTATCGTTAATATCATATAATAATGTAAATTGTCCAATGTTTATATTCCATATTTGTATAATACCATTTTCAGCTAATAATAATAATTGATTATTTTGCATTTGACAATCGATAAGATTCGATCGAAGTTGAACATCGTATGTATATAATATTTCACCATCACACAATTGCCATACAATTACATCACCTGAACGAAGGACAGTGAGAATTCTACCATTTTGTATATCATTTTCTTTTATAAGTTTTTTATTATTTTCAATTGGAAATGTAAAATTTGGATCACAATCAAATCGTGTTAAGATCATTGTACAATTACTCATATTTGTTGTGGAAATTGAATTGTCTGTATTCGTTGATTCATCAGTAGACATTTTAAATACAACAAAACATGTAAATGAACTTGTATGTTCTGTACAAGCAACAAGAATATAGTCTTCATTTGATGTCAAAATAATTCGACTTATTTGATCACCAATTGGTGTTTCAGGATCTGACTTTAATTCACGTTGTAGACTACATGTACCAATTTCGAGTAAACCAAGTGAGATACCACGACCATATTTTTGTTTTCCAGCCATATATAATATTGGTGAATATTTAGATGGAACAGCCACGGCACATTTAATCGGATGAATACTGGGAATTGAACAAAATGTTCCACTAGACCACACCTTGAAGAGAAGATTATATTTGAACATTATTTTTTTGTATTAGAAAACTATTTTACATACTTTAACTGCATATGGATTTATATTTGATGTCACTTCATAAAATAATCCGATTAGACATGTATCATCGTATGAAAATAATAATTGATGACAAGCACCGGTAGATGTTGTCGGTAACATATTACATGTTGTACCAGACTAGAGAATGAGAAATAATTTTAAAGAAAGAAAATTAAGAATAATTTATAATCTACCTGAGCTAGATTCATTTGTATAAGATTATTATTTGCTGTAGCTAGAAGAATTTGTTCATTAATCGATTGTATTGCATAACAATCAATCAAATTTTTAGCATATAAAAAGTTTAATGTTTCTTTTGTTAATTCACATTCTAATATGTTATGATTACTTTTTAATATTGATCGTCGTTTCATAGATGATAATCTATCGTTTGTTTGCTGTTTTTTATTATCTATTGGTTCATATTCAAATGTTTCAGCTAAATCGCATGAATAAACGGCTGAAACACTGTATGTTTGTGAACTCAAATTATCGTGATTGTTTTTCAATGATCTCAATGTTGATGTTGACTGTTGTTCAGTAGATGCAAGTAGACGTCCTAATTGACCGTATAAACTTGATGGTAACAAGGGTGGTGATGTTGTTTGTTTGAATGAGGGTGATTGTTTGAAAGAATTTTCATAGCAACAATGTTCAGATGGTAATAGACAATCGGAATTTCTTTCATTTTCTTCATTAAATACATATTTATTTGAATTATCATTGTTATCATGATTGTTATTATGATCGTGTGAAAGATTATAGCCACCATTGAGTCGATTTGATGATACTTCAGATGCACGACGTATTGCTGCAGTTTTAGCTGCATCATCCATATGTACATAACGTAACAAATTTGGTACACGTTTTTTTGATTTTTTACTATCGGGTGGTGCAATTGGCATTTTTTTCGATAGTTTTTCATAAGATTTTTTAGTTTTTTTATTAATAGAAAGATTTTTTAAAGTTTTTTTGTTATGATTAGATATTTTGCTGTGGTTTGGTGATGAAGATTTTATTGTGCCATTTGTATTGGTAAGTAGTTTACCATGATGTTTATTTGTACAATACAGACGGATAATGATAATTATTAATAGACATAAAAGTGTAAATGCAATTAATGAACCGATAATAAGACCTTTTGTACCAATACGAGTTATTTGAGTATATAACCAAAGAAATGCACGTGTTGAATTTGATGTACGAGAAAATATGTTATTATTTATAGTCACTTGTGGATGATAGATGTGATCCAGTATCATCAAAGTGGTCACTGTACTAAAAGCATTTGTCGAATAGGTTGAAGTAGTTAATTCGTTTCTGACAGTAGGTTTCAATGAAGTAGTAGCACTAGTGATAGTAGTTAGAACTGTTGTTGTTCGTGTTGATGGTGGTGATGTTGATATTGTCATTATTTTTGAAGATACTAATATAAAATGGCCAATAAATGGATCGGGATAAACATCTTCAACATCGCCATTTCGTTGTAACACATCATTCAAACTGTCAAATATTGACTGACGATTGTGTGAAAGACCTACATAAGAAAAAAACAAACAAAAACGAATTAATATGAGATTTCGTTTGTAAAATATTCATTGAAAGATACCTGCGATAATACCATTCCAATTTTTTTCACCACCGATCCGAATGCGTACTTGCTTTACAAATTGACGTTGAAGATGTTTTTCGTATTCTAAATAGAATAAAAGAATAAAATAAACAAATTTTTTTTGAAAGTTTATTTTTTCTTCGAGAAATGAAGAATAAAAAACTTACTATTGCCTCCTTCGAGATTAATTTTCACACCATCAATGTATAATTCAATAGTCGACATTTCTCGAACAATTTTAATTGCATGATAGGCACCATCGGTTACATGAGTAGATGTTGAATATACATCAGAATTTTTATCGCCTAAATTTAACTTGATGTATGATCGTCCACGAACCTTTAAAAATATTTAATAAATAATTTCATTATAAAAGAGAGAGAGATTTATTAAGAAAACCAACATACAATTTCATATTCCATATTATACATATTTGAATCAGATTCTAATCGAAGTATTTGTGCTGTATTCGATAACGTTTGTAAACCGAAAACAATTGTATCTCGTTCTGTAGTACGAGGATGATTTTGATAAACAATAGAACCTGGATTATTGTTTCTACCGAAATAGAAACCTTTTGGATCTAAATATGAGCAGATCATACAACAAATAAATACTTATTTTTCAATCTTTCAAAACATTACATTGTTGGCATCTTTCTCCCGTATAAGCTGTTTCTAAACAATCACATATTGGTCCATCATTTGCTGTTGTACAATAACCATAATGAATACATGTAAAATCATAACAAAGTTTATTCAAATCTAAATTATGCAATATTATTGTTATTATTGTTATATTATAAATTATTGAAATATTTACAAAACGCAAAGTGTTCCATGTGCATACGTTTCTACGTTTTCAAAGTGCAAATATACGATTATAATAAAAGGAAAATATACTCTCTAACGTTTTGCTTTTTTTTTGCATGCGGATAATAATAGTGCACCATATGAGATATCTATAGAAAATGCTTGCGTCATTACATTAAAAGTTCACTTTACATCTAACAAGCTGAGAGTAAACTAATGGGAATTCATAACAATGATATAATATAGAATAATATCACAATAAGTAGTCTGACTTCCGATTGAGTCTCTTTTCTTTTTGAAAATAATTTAGGAAAACCAAGAAAAGCTAATAAAATCAATGAAAATTAGCCAAAAAGATGAAAAAACTATTGATAAAATTGTTTTAAAATTTTTTCTCCTTTATCAAAAGGTCACAATCGAAAGCTAGTAAACATTGAAAATACTAAACACAACGATATACTTTGCACGATCTTTATCAACGTTTGAAATTGTACATCTTACCTTCTTCTTCATCATCTAATTCATCTGCTGAAAATAATTGACAATTTTTGAAACTTTGAACTTGATCTTTACGATCATTTTTAGTAATTAGTCCATCAAACATTAGCTCTTTCTCTATAGAAACAGATGTCCATTCTATATTCACAATAAAGTGAATGTTTCGATGAAGACAGAGATACATATATACTCTCTTCTTCTTTGGATTATAGAAGATTGAAAATTATTATTTAAAATATTATATAATCATGTACATACCTGAGCAAACATTCATTTTTACTTTTCCGTTTAATGCTAATGCCGATGAATAATCTAATACAGTGCCTTCGACAATAAAACTTGCCAAACATCCTTGAAAACCATGGGCATTTAATCCTGATCCTGTTAAATTAATATTACTATTGGGTATTCCACCAATATATAATACGGGTTGTAATGAAACAGCTGCTCGAACTCCATTTGTTGATAATGTTGAACGATTAACACGATTATCAACAATTAGCTCAATTCTAAATAACTAACTATTTAGAAAAACAAATTATTTTATTTTAATATTTATCCTACTTGTCTGTTCCAATTCTTGTTACTTTAACTTCATGCCATTTTCCATCTGCTAATTTCATTGTTTCATCTGAGACAATTTGTCTTTTACCCGCACCCAGATCAATAAACAATGTTATAATTCCTGCTCGTAATCCAATAGCAAAATATTCATTTAAACCTTGAGCATAACGATAAAGAATAATACCATCTGGTACTAATGTTCGAAATAAAAAGTAAAAATCTAATCGACCATGATTTTTATTTAATCCTTCTCGTTCAGAAAATGCAATATAACTTGTCTGTGTATCCAATGTTAATAAATTAAAAAATGCTGTTCTATAACCAATTAGAATATCATGCATCGTATATTGAAATGATGATGAATAAGCTTGAATTTGTTTTCGATTTAAATATGAAAATAAATGTTCACCATTATTAATGATAAGATCAGCCATATGACCAATAAATGGTTTCCAAATAAAATCATTTAAACGACGAGTATCACCAACTAATATTGAATTTATATGCCATGTTGAAATAACATTATCCGCCACTTGATCTAAAGTAGAATAAAACATAGAAAATAATAATCAATTAATAATGATATATTTTTGTTCTTTTTTTTCTAATAAAACATACATGTTTGAGTATCATCATCAACAGTTAAATTAAGTAAACCTTTGTTATCAATTTCAAACTGTAACATGTGCCAACTATCATTATTAACATTTTTACCAGAAGTTATCGTCTAAAAATAATAAAAATACAAAATATTTCTTGATAAAAGACATCTATTTTACTATTGAACAAATTAATTTTTGGCTATATAAATATTCTCGATGTTGTCAGATTAGAAAAATTATTCAATGTTGTGAATTTTTTTTTAAAATAAACAATATTTTAGTAAATGTTCCTAAGAGACTGTTTAATGTCTTTTTCAAGAGTTTGAATAGTAACAAATGACATAGTCTATTTCAATGACATAAAGATTTTTTCTTCTAACATCTACTATTCCAAGCAAATATCACCTATGTAAAAAATCTAGATACATTTTATCTGTAATCGGGCGATACATGACTAGTTGTCATACTAGATTACTAGTTGGAAAAGGGACTTTTAACTAGATGCGTCTGCATGTGTAACTAGCAATGGTTAGATCGATCGATTAGCGGGCGATAAATCGATAGTTGAAACTAGAAGAAATCTAGCAATCGCCCGATTGCTGAAATTTCCACGGTCGTTACCCAATAGTTGCAATCGAGTAAAAATCTAGTAATCTAGATGAATCGGGCGATACTAGATGTTTTTTTGATGCCTGAGATCATTCAACACAAGCTAGAATTTTTTTAACGCGTAAGTATCATCACGATGATTATAGAGATCCATCAAATTATAATTTATTATAAATACATTTTCATTTGCGTTGAGCATGCGCATTAATTGTCATTAGAAATTCTTTATATATGATGATACACATTGTTTATTTCGTTCTCTAGACATGTATCCGATAACTGCTCAAAAATCCGTTTTTTCTTTTTTTTTCTTTTTCAAATTCAATTGCTTAATAAAATATATCTATCGTTCGTTATGTCATGGACGATTATTATCAAATTAAATTTGTATTTTAATATTTCAATATTTGCAATAATATACTCATTTCTCCCTCTCTCCCTCCCTTCCCTATCTTAATCAATACGTGTAACGTGATTTTTTTTTTTATGTGTAGACCATATAAAAAGACCTTGGAGAGAGGAAAAAATAACACTTCGTGTTCTCATTTTTTCCGACCCATCTATGAAAAGAAACAAAACTATAATGTCATTATAAATTGTCTTTTCTTTTGTTGTCGCTGTTGTTGTTGTTGTTTAAACTGTGTGCTTATCTAATGAAAAGGAAATCTAGTTTCGAGAGTAAGAGAGAGAGAAAGAAATCGAACTTAGAATATTAATATAAGAATACGTCAAATGACATAAATAAATAGAAAAAGCGAGATGAACAAGAAATAACGATAAAACATATATATATGTTCAAATTGCATTCTTTCCGCCCGTTCACTATCATGCTAGGTGGTGCGTGAAAAACACGAGAAATTTTCTTCTGTGTTTTTTTTTTTTTGAAAGGCTTGTTTAAAATTAATGAGAATATAGATTAACTATGACAAAAAAAAAAGAAAAACCGAAGAAGAAGAAGAAGAAGAAGAAGAAGAAGAAGAAGAAGAAGAAGGAGAAGTGACCAAGAAAGAAAAAAGAAATTGAGATCGATAACAAAATTATACAATATTTGTTTGCCTAGATTGCATTGCATATCCACAAAAGATAGAAACAAATAACTATTCTTTTGTTCTGCTAGTGATTTGTAAAAATGATTAAACAGCCTCATGATTTATCTATCTCTATAAATGATAGGATCTTAGTAATTATGTTTACCTCATTCTATAGTGTATTTTTGATGAATTTTTTGACAAAAAAATTTTAACAATTGTTCAATTTTGATTAAAAACTTATGTTAATGCAAGAAAATGCATGACTCTAGAGAAATTAATTATTTATCTTTTTCACTAACTCAATGATATTTCATTAATTTTTATTTTCTCAAATATAATTTTCGAGATTCAATAAATATTTATCTACCTAATATTTTATTTAGAGAAGAATTGACAGTATAAGTGCAATATTAGTCTAAAAAAAAAGAAAGAAAGAAGATATATTTGATTAGAAAACAAAAAAAAAAAAAGAAGAAAATAACTAAAAATATAACTACGTCTATTCAGGGACTATTTTTATTAATTGAAGATAAATATGACAAGAAAAGTTTATTGTACTAATAATGATTATGTGATGAATCAAGTAGATATTAGACTGACTAGCTAGTATTGATGTGAATCAAAGATAATATAAATGATATAAACAGATTATTCCTTTGTATACTATTTTTTAACAGGTCAATATTTTGACTCTGATTATAAACGACAATGAATGTTAAATATTACTTACCTTGACATTTTTTAATATATTATCAAATTTTAATATTGTCACTTCTATTCTTGATGTTGAATGTTCAATAACAATATAAGGTATTGGAATATCTAAACGTGATTTTATTTCTGGTATTGTTAATTTATTATTATTATTATTATTATTTATTGGATGAATAGTTGATTGTGATAAATCTTTTCGATTTGTTAAAGATAGTAGAACACCATTTGAAATTCGTCCTATTGTTCGAAAACGTAGTGTCAATTTCAATGGATATTTGATAGTTTGTAAATTTTTTTGACGATATTCAATGAACGATGTACTGTTAAATGTAACAACAGTTGAACCTAAAATAATAATACGTTTATTGTCAATTTGAATATACAATATACTCTATGATCTCTACGAATTCTAACCGAATTTCAGTTGTATCTTTTGTACTCTTATCTTTAGTTGGTTCAGTGCATCTTAATTATATTTCTTTTGTGAATTTATAATTAGATGTACCTAATAACGATTGATTAGATATATTTGTTTAAGTGGTACTATAATCGCTGGAGATTTTTACTCTATCACACACACACACATATATCTATATATAAATGGTATTGATCCGTTTTTGATAGGAATCATTTTTGTACATTCTGCCGTTAATAGTATAATTATTAGTTTGTTTTACGTATAAAATCAAACAGTCTCTATTAATGTATCGACTGATTAAATCATCATCCGCAATAATTGACTTGAATCAATCATTGGCCTATTTAATACTGTTTTTCTCTCTTCGCAATAGCAGAAAATATTTCTTGAGCTTTATCTACAGAAAACGAGTTTAGGTAAGGTAAAGGCACGATGTTTTGTTGTATTGAATGCATCACATTCTTTGTAGTATATCGTATTCCTACTTTTATTTTTATCTCAAATCTGACTATCACTCAGACAATTAATGTGAACAACTAGTCCTTTAAACTGTGTATTTCTGCTAGAGACAGTATTAGTCTAACCGGTTCATGTCTAATTAGTTATGTTTTCTGTACCAGAGAAGGCTGTCTGTCTAGCAAATTTACTACTAAATATCGAATGTTGCCTTTTCTAGTTCTTTACTTAGTTATCAAAAATTTTTACGAAATTTAGAATATTTCATATCTCCTATACAATTTAGAAAATAATTTAGCATCTTGATATAAGTCAGAAAATCAACACTTAAATTTCTTTCACTAAGCGCTAACTTTTATTTAGTTACTTGATAATTTTGGAAATCAGTTTTAAATTGTTGCAGCTTCAGCACTAGCTAGTGCACTTATCTAATTTAATGATTCTTTAAAATTCTATATGTTACTATTTAGTTTAACCGATTTGTTAATCATCCCATTATAATTTATTAAAGTTTACAACATTAATAAATTACATCTTTTGTTCAATTGTAAGGGTCTACGAATTTCATACTGGTCTTATTTGGCTTCCTAAGGAAATAAGCAAGGTTCACAGTATTAAGTGGCTGGGGAAACCCACAGAATGGTCTTCTGATTTTTTTCGAGATCGATGCTCTCGAATTTGATCATCTTAGATCTTGAACTGGTCGACAGAAAGTGTACAAGGATAGGAAGTTTAGCAGTCGAAAAAATTTCTTTTTTATTTGTCGGCATTTCTGTTTGGAAGATATTTCGAAATCAAGAAAATTGCCGACTCTTGATTCCTCGTGACTGTAGATTTTTTCTGACACCTAATCTGTTCATTATTCGCAATGCGTACATATATACAATGTACATTCAATTAAAAAGTTGATCTTATATGCATCTTCGCGTGACTACTTCATTTAACATCATCATATTTATTATTTTACAATAGACACTAGCAGGTTGATTACTATATTCATCACTTTATTCCGCCTCATTTGTTCAAAATAATGTTCAAAAATATCGCAATTATGAGAGATACAATGGATCAAGGCCTCGATTTTATGAATACTTTTCTGATATTGGTAGATATCTTGGAAAAAAATGCTCAAGCTGAGATAAAACTAGTTCAAATATATGGTACTAACTATAAACTACACTATTTAGTTGTATCTAAGTCAACGACTTAATTACATCTATAATTTTTACTATATTAACTTACTACTCGATTTTTGATATTGAAAATTATTCCGTTTAGATCGATGTGTATTATTGTCATTGATCGTTTTTTGTTGTTGATGTTGTTGGTAGTAGTGGGATTGTTGTGATTTATAACATTGAATAGAATCATTGTTCAAGAGAAAAACTGTCTCATTATTTAAACGTATAATATTTTCCACATTAGATGAGGATGATAAATTCGTATAAATGATAAATAAGTTGAGTAAAGTTAAATAATTATTTTCATGTTTGACTGTAGTACATGTACGTTCATTATTGAAAATTTTTACCTTAATATTATAATTATTACCAAATATAAACGATATTTGATAACGATTAAACGAATAACAAGTATTTCTGTTAATGGAAATTGAATATGTTGTATTTGTTTGTGTAACAAATGGTATTAGACTAATACAGATAGATGAATGAACATTTAATGTATTTGGACGGCATGAACAATCGAGAAAATTTGATATCTAAATAGAATTAGAAATAAGCATATTTCTAAAAAATTATTAATCTCTTAACTTCTTCTCTTGATATTATTGAGAGAAAAAAAAACTTTTATTATATCCTTTTCATCTTTATAATTGAGAGTTTTGAACCAGATGCTGTTTTTGTTTTGTTTTTTATTATTATTTCTACTTCATTTAATCATTTATGTCTTAAAATAATTACTATTATTATTACAACTACTACTACTGCTTTCTTTTGTTCAAGTATCATCTTTAGGCGTCTGCGTTTAGAGAATTAAAAGTGTTTTTTTTTTCACCCTTTCACATCATAAACCCCTTTTGAACTTATTGCGATTTTTACTTCTATTCTATTGAGGTGTGATGATTAATCTTAATATATAAACCATTGTAAACGTCTCAAAAACGTTCTCTTTTTTCAGCAATTAACCGCTTTAACGTAAACACGAATGTTGTCTACGGTATATAGTTCGTTATGATTGTCATTAGTAAGTAGTAGTGAAAAATCATTAGAATATTTTGTCTGTGGATATAATCTTTCCTCTCAATCTTTATTCATTGAACATTAGAAAGAGAAAAAAAAAATGTATATTTTTTGATTACTTTTGCTTTCTAAATTAGTTATGGCGAATTGGCACAAAAAGAAAGATTTTTTATTAAATGACTCTATGTGGTTTTTTTTACGTTGAATCTATGTGTGTGTGTGTGTGTGTGTGTGTACAGAGGTCAATTATCGGAAAAACGTGTGTGAAAACGAGTTTTAATTTATTGCGGAAATGAACAAAAAAAAAAAAAAAAATTGAACGCCTCAAGCTAGAAAGTTTTTATTCTCAACTTCGACATTGTTATCCGTGATCAATGACCATTACATAGATATCACATTTTCTTGAGATACTATGAAATATATTAAAATGACTAGTTTAAATATCTACCAAAGTACGAGTGTAGACGCTTGTAAAACATATGGCCTACATAGTTGTGAAAAATCCTCTTCACATTTTAAATAATGTCGAAGTTTAACCACAAAAGATTAATTTAAAAGCTTTTTTTTGTTTAAAGGTTTTGAAAGATCAAACAAAGATGAAATATATATATTTTTCATATATTTCATCCATTAATTTCAAACAGATGATGATAATGATACATATATAAACCTTTATCTAATAATAGTGTATTTTGTTCATGATAAATGTTAAAAGGCGTTTTGCTTAAAACACAAACTAAAACTACTCCTCGTTGTCCACATCTCCATTCCTTTTCTTCTCATTTTGTTATTCACGATTGATCAGAGGCGTGAACATGGATTAATATCTTTCTTTTTTTCTCTCAATATAAATACTATTCTGAGATAAGAAGAAGAAGAAGAAGAAGAAGAATATGTGAAAAGAAAACAGACGCAATGTTGAACAATTTGACATAAAAATATTTATAATTCTAGCCATTTTATTTAACTTCATTGATATTTATAACATTGATCTTACTTAAAAATAACAAAGAGACTTAATTAATGAGAAGTAAATAATATTCTAATGATTAAATAATATAGAATTAATTTAAAATAGAGAGACTACAATTAAATTTTATCAACATCTTTAAATTAAATGATAATATAGAATAAAAAAACAAAAAAACAAAAAACAAACGTTTTTTTACCTTATTCGATCTTGTTGCAATATCCGCTGAAACTAAATGATTTGATTGGTACTCAACAGCATTCTTGAATGAATAGTGTTGTATAGTTAAACTTGAATATAATTTAAACAACTTACATAATAGAATAATATTTATGATATAGAAATAGTACATGTTTAATAATTTATATTAATATAAATAAAATTATTACTGTTCATTTTAATCTGGTTTGTATACCGTCATGAATAGATAAATAGAATTATACTAATTTATAATCATACTAGATGATGATATTTTTTAATAAGAAAAATAAAAATAATTACATTTTAATATCTAAAATTAAAAAGTATAACTAAAAATGAGACAATTGAACTATAAATTTTAATTGAATGTATTTAAAATAGAATAATAGAAATAAATTTTTACTCTTTACCTGTTGTTCAACTATCCGTATAAAAGAGAACAAATATTGACCACAGAGTCACTATTGATAAAGTTTTTGTCCTTGAAGTAAGTATTCTATGTTTCTTGTTAATTATTATAAATACATCACGGATCTATAAGTGTTGCGTTCGGATCATTGATTGATATTGAACATCAATCGTATCGTTTTAGAAAAAAAGAACACAATGTATATGTCGCAGATTCTCTTTTTTTCGTTCTGTTTTTCTTCTTATTTTCTTTTTTTTTTTGTCACCATTATCATCATATATACACAAAAAAAAAAGAAGAAAGAACTGTTTACATATTGTCAGAACAGATTTCTTTTTCTTTTTTTTTTTGAACGTTATAAGAGAAAGAATGTTGAATAGACCAAATATATACATACATATTAAAAAAATAATAACAACAATCATATAATAATAATCGAAGAAGAACAAAAAAAAAAACGAAGTGAATTGAGAGAGAAATATCTACTTTCTCTGTTTTTTCCTCTCTATTTTCTATCTAATATATATAATGATGATAGTGATGAACGCTATTTATCTCTCGCGTCTATTTCTTATGATTTTATATGAAAAAAAAAAAAATTTCGATGAATAAACCGCAAAAGCGAAAAAAAGTAAAAGAAGGATGTGATTTAAAAAACAATGTCTCGTCATTCTTTCTAAGATGAGAGAGGAAGAAATATTGAGTATTATTGTAAGAATGGACATATACATTCATCGTCATACATATCAGTTTTATTTTTGATGAATATAAAAAAAAAAAAAAAAAAAGATGAAAATAAGAAAGAAATGGGGGATGTATAGTTCTTTCTTTAATGTATGTAAAGAAGGAGCTCAAGCATTATACACATGAAGGTATATATACTGAACAGATTAAATGACAAGTAGTAAAAGAACGTTAGTTGTTGTTTATAGAGAGAGAGATATTGACACATGATTTGTACTGAATATAGGAAAGTGTGTGAAACGGATCATTTCACCACACTCTTCTAATTAAAATGAACAATCGGATGTATTAAATTCCTTTATAGAAGTATGATCATGTCATTTTGAGTATGTAGTCTCAAAAACATTCTTCAGAAATGATGTGAAAGATGCTAAAATATTCATTTTTGTTTCTTTTATTTTTGTTTTCTTTTTTAATATAGTTATGCTAATATGTTGATGTAATTGATTATCATATCTCTAGTTATAATTAATTATAAACATGTAGAAAAATCTTAAGTTTTGAGAAACTTCAACAAGTATCTAAAATGTTTTACATATTAAACAATTATTGATTGCATGTCAAACATAAAGATAGTTGTTTAATGGAACACACGAGCTATATATCGCCATAAATTCAGTTATCATCATTATCATCATCACATGAACATTTTCTCTATTCTTTTTTTTTTTATATTCAAAAATTTAGTATTGTAACTTTTTTTGTTTTATAATTAATTAATGGGAACAGATCTGTATAAATGATTATCTAAAGTGATGATTTTGCTCTTTTTTAACCTGCGGGATAATACAGTATGCTCTCATAATAATAAAGAATCAAATACATAAAAACAGCTTGAACATGAAGCTCGCAGCTGTAAAACATCTGCGATCATGAAATTTTTGGATCTTTGATAAATTTCTATGAGATAAAAAAACAACTATGCACACGCAGTTTCAATTTTCGCTTTGTAAATTTTCTTTTATTTTTCTAAAGAGAGGGCGTTGTTCCGCTCTATTCAACTCTTCTAATCGAATTCTCGTACTTTCCTCTCTATTGACTGACCATTAAGGATCATTTTATTTTTTAGCTGCATAATTCATTCGAGATTGCCTATCTTTTCTATATATTTAAATTTTCTTTTTTAGTTCTCCAAGCATTTATTCCAAATTGTGCCACTTAAACATGTTTTCTTCCTTCCGATCTCTCAAGTCTAGTAAGAGAGAGAGCGAGAGAGAAAGAGAGTTAACAACAAATTAGATCAAATTATGTAATACAGTTTCTATCGTTTAGTTTATTGTTAAAATATAAATTCACTCGAGAAAAAAGAAAAATATATAGAGATTTGGTCGATAGTTATTTAATGATGAAGTTAACTGTACATCGCTAAATAATCGGACTTCCTGTTTAACAGAGTCAGCATGTACCAAGTATTATAGGATAACAATAACAAAAAATAAAATGATCATTATTATTCTTTTTTTTTTCTTTTGAAAAACAATCCGGACGGATGGACGTGGTCTTTTTGGGTAAAAGAATACGCTATAATGACCATTGAATAATAGGCGTCAAGAGAGAACAGTTTTATAATTAGAACCGGAAATCAAGTGGTCATTCATCAACACACTGATGTAAACGTTATATATTCCATACTAAATAAACTTTTTGTTTTTTTAGAGATTTCAACGTATTCTAGTCGAAAAAAAGATAATTACTAAAAATGAAATTTAATTCAAGCGTAAATTTCTTTTTAATTCACAATTCTCTCAAATTAAAACTTATAGTCGGCTTCTTTCGTCTCTATCTTAATGGTCATTATAGATGGCAAGAATAGGCTTAGCGAGAATGTATATACTAGAAACTATTGGTAGACAAAACATAATGCAATAATACATTAACCATTCTTTCTATCAATTCACAACAGGTATCAAAACACTACTTTACATAGTAAGGGATAAAGAATGAAAGAGAAAAGAAAATTGATAAGCCTCACGCAACAAAAATTGAACTTATATATATAATATATTACACTATTTTGTTAGTAATCCTTCGAAAATTGAGTCATAACACACGAGCTAAGCACTTCATTCATTATCTAAAAAGATGGAGATATATTTTTGCATATCTTACTCTCTTCAGAAACCAAAATTTTATACAAGGAAAAGATATCACACTTCAATTTCTGAAGTATAAGAAGAGAAAACCAACTCTTTCTGGATATAATGATTCATCTCAACTAGTTTTTTAATGAATTTATTGACGGTTTTTAGAAAAAATGCTAAAATACCTCTAAATACAGAGGCGTTTAAATTCTATCAAAGACGCAATCCCCTTGGAGCACAGTCAGAATAGTAAGGTGTGCAACATAGTTCATTCGAGTACAAAATGCGAGAAAACATTTTCATAAGACAGCAGATTAGGTATTGAATTTATCAAGTTTTCTTGAATTTATTTTCTTTTTTGTAAAATATGATGATCCAAGTAATCCATTATTATGTTGTCTTATTCAGTTATAAATGCAAAGGGATGGCAAAACAAAACTGAAAAAATTTGTTTTTCTAAGTCACATAATGACGAAGTTGCACTTGTGGCATTTTTCTTTCACGAGATTGCAACGTACATTTTCGTTTGTTTTGAGCATGTTGAAAGAATACGAGAAGAAGCAATTATTTGTATTTTAATGATGAGTGATCAGAATACAAGAAGAAAAATAGTTGTTTATTCTTAAATACATATTGTCTATTTCTTGCTCTTCCCTACATATGTAGGTTGATGTAGTAACTTTTTTTGTTTGGAAAAATGACTATGAGTGGAAGAAAAAGACGACAATTGACCATCACATATGTATTCGAATCGTGTTAGATTGAAAATAGAAAATACAGTTTCATGCATAGCAAAATAGACCATTTTATCCGACATTAACGGCGATAGTGACTCATCTCGAGCGACACTGAACACTTTGTATGTTCAATCGAAAAAATTAGCATCAAAAGTTCCATTGGACTTACATAGTAAGAATGTTTTCATTCGATCTTTGTCTAACAAATATAGCAATGTGGTGAAAATTAAGGTTCACAAAGTATAGTCTGCAGAAACGCGTTTTAAACCAATTATTATAAAACTCATAACAGCTACTTTTCCTTACAGTTATAATATAATAGACGATGTATAAGTATGGACTAAATCCATTTTCTTATTGATGATAAGACAAAAAAATTAGCATACGGATATTAAACATGAAGTCATCTTCCTCTTTCTCTCTTATTTTGAGATGGCATGTTCAATCAAGTTGTATTAGCATTATTCTATTTCTCATTTGTACAACACAAAGAATAAATATGTAACCTTGAGAACAATTCATTTCTAAACTTGATTTAGAAGAAGAATAAAAAAACAATGAATAATGTTAGATCTTCATTATTTTTTCAATGTTTCGATTATTCAAAACTGACTCTCTATTAATACCCAAGCGAATATGCAAAGAGTATAAAACCTTGAATTTCTTTAAAAATAGGCATGAGAAAAAAAATACTGTGAGTGTAGAAGTTTTCAGAAAATATGAGAGAATATTTTAGATATTTACTCTAATGAAAATATTACGATTTTCGCAACATCAAATTCTTATAGCAATTGTTGTAAAATGACACTAATTGACAAAAAAGTTGTGTGCTACAGTAAACATTACATGACTAAATAACAGCCCGTTTTCTTTCTTCAAAAAATTTTCGTGGTAATTTAAAAAAATGTAGAAGTAACAAATAAATTAAATATGTTATACTTATCCTGTGGATGATTGTAAATGTGTTTGTAAAAAAGAAATGACAATAGAAAGGAATATACTTCTCTAAACTATGTGCACATTTGCGTTTGGAATTTATTGTTCAATAATCGATTTGACAAGTTTGTTTTATATAATTCAAATTACGATCCTCAGCTCTCAAGGTATGTCATATTAAATTGACAATAGAAAAAGCGAGATTGTTCAATCAAAAACAATTAAATAGACTGATTGGATAAACACGAAATTTAAAAGGCATGCGAGTTCACAGAATTACACAATCGGTCTTGTTACGGCGCCGTAATCGATCGTTAAAGTCCGAAATGTGGTGTGTTTCCAGTCGTATACATCACGTAAAAACGCCGTAACCAGCTATAAATGAATTGGGATCCATGGACCCAAATTACGCGCTGTATGTTCACCCTATCATTTCCGGTCACCTATAAAATCAAAAAAAACGAATCTGTAGTACGTGCACAGCTTCGAATACGTCTTGCGATGGTGAGAATGGTGTTCACATAAGACCATTCACATGATACTAATGTAACCTTCGACAGAGACTATAATTAATTCTTAATCTCATTGGTTCAAAGAGGATTTAAAAAGAATGTTTTATTCGTGTAAACGTGTAGCTAAATCTATATTATAATTTAAAGTGTTTGTTTATCTGTTTGTTCAGCTATACAAACCCATATGCTTCATCCCAGAGCAACCAAATTTTGCATGGGTTCCACATTCATCAAGAGGACGACCGTAGGCTATGTGCAACCCCAAAATCTCCACCCACAGGGATACCCGGGTAACCAATCCGGACAACGGTCGGTAAATTTTATAGTATGTAATATTAAAGTACTTTAGTATCATAGGGTTTAAGGCCATTTACAACTATCATAAACAA